CTTACCCAAACTTGGTTTACGAGGAAATTGACTGGTTGATTGGCTTAGGTTAAAGGAATTTTCGTTTCCATTCCTGCTATGACACTACTTGAAATCGAAAGTAATTAAAGTAAGAAATGTTTTGTGTAGCCACACGAACATGGAATGGTCTAACCAGAATCGCTCGACAGATATCAGTTGAAGGTGAACATTTTGTGACGGCTTCCAGGATTGGGTTGCAAGGCGCTGTAAATTTGGTTTGTTTATATCACAGAATACATCTCAGCGAAGATGACTTGGAAGAAAAGTTCATCAAGGGCTGGGGACCAGGAGGTCAGAAAGTCAACAAAAGTAGTAACTGTGTTCAACTCCTCCACAAGCCCACTGGTATCACGATAAAGGTAAGACTAATTTTTTACTGGTGGTTGTGACAAGTTATCCTATGAGCCTTAGTGGGGAATATTGGACGACACTTGCTCATCTGATTTACTCATTCATTAAAGCAGAATAGGACATTTCCCCCTCTTTCCCTTGCTAATTTTGAATCATACCCCAAAGTATTGTGTAAAAAAAAACCTGTGTTTGCTGGTATTGATCCAGTTTTTGAAGTTTGCATTCATACACATGGAATTTGGACCTCTATCTGTAGTGTTAGCTCTTTCCTCATTTATACAATAGACTTGTTGTTAAATGGGCAAAAACTACAAATTGCACCATAAAACAAGTTTTACTTTAATACTGGGAAAATATGGCATGACAGCCTCTTATTATTGGTGACAATTATCATCCAAATAAAAGTGACGCTTCTAAAATTGTTATTCACAATCTATAGATGCTGATGATAACAGTTGGACAGCAAAATTCAAGTGTAGCTCAAAAAGAATGAAATGCAAATTCATGTAAATGATAAATGAACAAAAATTGTTTATTTAAATTTAACACCATTTAAGACTATGCTCTCTGAAATAAGTACCACGATATTATCACCCTGAATTCAAAACATACTGCAAGCATCCCAAACATCAATATGCATATTCTTCATACAACTCCCTAGACATTTCGTAGCATTCTGACAAGGAGAATTTGTTCAACAATCAAGAGCTTCTTTAGTTGGTGATCATCTCCTTTATTCTTATGACCTTAGCATTTGATTCAGGGGTGATATTGTAAGGAGAAATTAGATGTTAGTCACTCTTAGGGGTTAAAGGGTTATTATCCAACTGCACAAAGTACTGAGTACAAATAATGCATGAATAGAGTACAAGTATCCTGCAATACTGTAGGGTTATTTGGTTATTTGGTTATGTTGTACTTAAAAAAAACTTGTCTATTTAGTTGACTGTGCATGCTATGTTTCTCTATCCACTTTGCTTTTCCCACCTTATGAGAAATGAACAGAAAGACTTTGCAGAAGCAGTTGGATAATAAATAACTTGTCAGACATTCTGGTGTATAGTATTGCTGAGTATTTTTACAAGTTGCACCACATTTTGATGAGTCAAAATAGGCCACAACTCATGAAAATACTCAGCAGTACTGCTCACCAAAACTTGTAATAAGATATATTTATGTGTGGCTTTTAACAGTACTAACAAGGAGAGTTGTATATGACTACTACTGGCTTGTTAGCTGATTTAAAAAATGAGAAAAATAGCTGTACTTGTGATAAGTGTGCCACTTGTAAAAGTTTTCCAACATGCAGAGTCTGATTTGTTTCTCATGGGCTTGCAAGGGTCTTAATTTCCATAGATGTAACTGCAATGGAGTTGGATTCTTGTGGAATCATATATGTTTTCATTGGTGATTGCATAGCATGGTGTAACAAACATTTTATGTGGATTCAGGGCTATGTCATTTTTTTGTTAATCTACTAATCTTTGGAAAAAAAAAGAAACCTTAAATTAGCACTGAAAGGTGATGATGATTGTTCATTTTTATTTCAGTGCCATGAGAGTCGCTTACTTGCAAGAAACAGAGTGATTGCTAGAGAAATTCTGAAAGAAAAACTTGACTTGCTTTATAATGAGAAGGACAGTGTTGTTGCAAAAAATATTGCAAAGATAAGGAAAAGGAAAGCACAATATGCGAGGAAGAGAAGACAACAAGGAGAAGCCTATGCCAAAGGCTCACAAAACATAGATCCTGGACCATCAGATTTGGACAAAGGATGAAAAGTAGTATATTCATCCAGAAACCAAGGGCAAGGGCTTCACTGAGGATTTACAGAATAAAACTACCAATAATAACCCTTTTTAATAATAACACTTTGAACAGTACTTGTCTAGCAGGTCCTGCTATAGTGTAAGAAAAAATTGACATCAGAACAGCTTCATTCTAAGGTGAACCTTGTAGGCCTGTAGGAAGGAAGTTGCCAAAGGTGCACATGCATCCCCTTAAGGGCTGCAAGAGTCTTTCTACAAGATACTAGTGATTCAAAAGAAAGTGAGCTATTTTAAAAAAGCTGAATGCAAAGTAACTGTAGTATTCACATTCTGACTTGCTTACTGTGTATTTTGAAATGAAAACTAATTAAATTAACCATTTTAATTTTAATTTTAAGACACATGAAATTCAGTCCTAGACAGCCCAAAATTTTCAAGATTATGCAGTGTTTGCCTGAGACAAGTTCTAGTAAATTGCAAAACGATTGCAACCTGACTTCTCAGTCTGTTACAGGATCAAGTGACCTGTCAGGGTACCCTTTTTGTTGTGCTGGTTCTTTAAAAGCACATATTTGAAAAGTTAGTCAAAAATATTGTTGGAGATAAGGAGGGTGGGTTTTCCATGTTGTAGTTTGTGGTTCAGTATAACCAATCAACAGATCTGTCTTTATTGCATAACATACAATATAAAATGCAGTCAACTTAGCATTATTTTGAAATACTGCAATTTTCCAAAAACAAGGAAAATCTGGAAAACATGGAAAGCCTGTTGGCCTCTGTTAAAGGAACATGTTCATACCTGGGACACAAGCCTAGTTCTTGTGATTGAAAAATTCTCTGTATCTGTTATCACAATAAAAGACACCCTTCTATAGGCAAATGGTATGTTTTATTCTGACAATTCTGGTTGGCATGGCAAAGAGTGAAAAATGTGCTATTGAAAATGTGCAGCAACACTACAATTAAACTTGCTGCAACTTATTGCATTTGTACAGCAATAACAATGTATAATCAAAGGTTCTACTGTACATTACACGATCTTCACATCATTTTTCCTCATACATCCAAAAAAACCTCCTATGAGTTTGACCAAGACAGAATTTCTCCTTACAGTATCAATACAATGTTATCAATACAATATCAAGTAGACAAGTGATGAGAATAATGGTTATATCTATTGGGGATAACTAGTTGGTGAGATACAAAATCAACAAAACCGTCATTGTAGGAATGGTATGCCAGACAGAATTACCATTGAGATCTTGGGAGTAACAGGGTTAAGGTGTGTCAACTCAAAAGAACAAAGCTAGGGGAGGTTGTTTTATAGTCATTTTATGGTTACTTCATGGTATTTCTCTTGCAAGAGTTAGGAAATGAACAATTTCCTAATCAGAAATGAGTCATCAAATTACATCTGTTACTTGATCTACATTAGCTAAACATTTGAAAGGAATACTTTCACAAGTATTGTTGCCATGAAAATCAGAAAAACTTCCTCTGGTAAATCATATAGTTTAAAATTGGCAGCAAACCATTCAACACACCATTGAATACTGGCAATTAATACATGTACATCTCTAACAATAAATAAAGGTGTCCTTCATATTGGATTGATTACTTTTATTTGCAAATCAATTGTAATTATAAATACTATATCAATATTAGTTATATTTACTGAGAACACAATAGGTTTGAACCTCACAGCTCTAATTATACATAGTCCTTCTACTGATATTCAATAGCACTTCACTGTTTTTTTATTTCTTCTTGTTGTTGTGGTTGTTTTTTTTCTTTTAAGTAATGTATGTTAAAGGAGAGGTTTGCTGCAGATATCATAATTTCCATCTCTGCCATTCAATACTCGTTGCTTTTTAGGACCTCTTTCAGATCACTGACCTTTAAAAAAAAGTTTTCTCATGTGCTAACAATTAAGCTTCCAATGCCACCATTTTAAAAACAGCTCAGTAACCTGGCTGCATATGAATGATGGCAGGATACAAAACTTGTGCTTCTCAAACAGTTCTTGCTTCATTATCCACCTCTATGTCCTCATTCAGCCTGAGCTCATGTTCAAATTGATTCCATGTTGCAAAGTAAAGGTTTATTACTTCATATGTTAGCAGCCAAGTTGCAGAACAAAGTTCAAAGTGGTGACATCCCTGGACAAACTTTTAACACCTTTTACAACAATTTTCTAAAGGTTTAAGCTTACTATTAAAAAAAATGAATAAAAACAGCAGCAAGAGAAAAATTTTTTGACAATTTTTCATTGCAGAGAGGAAAGTTATATGCTTTCTGGAGCATACTTCTCTATCACAATATCATCTACATGATTGTATAGTTCTCTTTAGCTCCCAGGGTGAAAAAGTTTGGACTTCAGAGATTGAAAAATGCATTTTTGAATCAGAGAATTTTGCTAATTGCTTGATGCATCATACTTCTTCTCCAGTTACAGCTTTCCATGGCCACATCTTCCAGCTTTCTTGAAATGTTACTTCATAACAGACATTTATTCCTGACAAGAGCTGACCTGGTCATTGGTGCTACTGTCTTGCACATCTGTCAGTTTCCACGAGGCATTCCCTAACCAACACCCTAGCATGCATAATACCTAGGGAAATCATGAGAACAGATAACTTGTAGAAGTCTAAAACTTGCATTGGGAGAGGTGGGGTCAAGGGTTTGAAATTCATAGTCAAATAAAGGTAACCAGACATTTCGCACAAAAGACTTTTCGCACAAGTCCTTTAGCACAAGTTTTGGACCGTTCGCACAATTCTTAGTGGTCATTTCGCACAATAATTATAAGTGAGAAACATCAATATAAAAGGTATACTGATTGATACTGATAAGACATTTCACCGTCACAAGATCCAACAGCGAGAACGTAGACATTTATTTACATAATAACTTCCACTAGATCAAAATGCTCGTGAACACGATCACTATTCTTACTTGAAGAAAGGAGAGGTACAAATCTCTCTCTCTATGAAAAGGTAAAGAACTCCCTATTCAAACGACTACTTCTATAAATTTTCCTTTGTTGAATGAAGAACCTTTTAGTTTTGACTGTATCATCCACTACAAACATGCAAACATGACGACCCACGCTAAGGACATTTAGAACTGTAGGAATCTATCATTTCAGTTGTACCCACTGATAACTTTCTGTTGTTTGAATGCCTACAGTTTCAGTAAACATACAGTAATAGCTTCCTTAATTAATAATGGTAATACAACCAAGTGGAATCCAATTTGGTCTGTAATCATATAGGTGAAAAACAAAATCAGACGACTGCGAAGCAGGAGTCTGATTTGTTAATCATGAGTTTGATTGCAGATAGAATTAGATGACGCAAAGCTACAAAGTCTTGTTACCAATTAATCAAAATTATGACAAAATTTGGGAAGAAACTAGACATCCATTTTACATTTTCATTCAAATAAAAAAACAACAGTTAACTCAGTGAAACGCAAGACAACAGTGCATGTGCATGATGTGTTCTGATTGTGCTAATCTTCCCTTTAACTATTTTATTACCATTATCAATTATGAGCATGATGCGTGCACTGTCCTATTAGTGCTCAAATTGGGCTGGTGGTAACCAATCATGTTCAAGAATTTTGTTTTAGTTTTGATTAATAGTGGTTTATAGGACCGAGTGGAGTTCAATTTAGTCTGTAATCATACAAGGGATTAACAAAATTGGATGACCACCAAGTGGGGGTCCAATTTGTTTATCATGAATATGATTACAGACAGAATTGGACAAGAAGAAGTCCTGTTGCCAATTAATCATAACCATTTCAATTTCCGAAAAAACAAATACATCTGGAACAAATATCCCCAGTGGAGACAATGTCTTAATTTGAAAATTCCTCCTCTTTGTAAATTCCCCAGTTTTTCTATGGATAAGTGGTTGTTGCTATGATTGTTGTAATCAATTCTGTGATTGGTGGATTTAACTGAGTGGACTTAGTATGGTTGGCTGCTTCCACTGTCTAATTACACAGTCTGGTAACAGCTGTGCAGAACAATTAGTGGAAAATGAAGTTGCGAATGCACCAAAAACATTTGAGGAATTTCTAAGGTTTTGATTACGGAGATAAACGAGAAATCTTTCATATTTTGCAAAGGGTAATTGCCAACAAGGAAAAAATTTTCTTAAGTAGCTTTTGTCTTACCCTTCTTTAATCGTTCAGCGGCGTTTTTACTGCCAGCGTAGGTAGGACGAATATCTTTTCCTAATTCTTCGATCACTGCTAAAAGCTCTGCGTATTTTCCAGGAGAATTTTGGCTGGAATTAGTGGTGCTCTGCGGATTGGCAGTCGAAGAACTCGCTCCTTATTGACAAAAGAAAGAAAAGGTTAAAAGAAATTGAGAGATAGAGGAATGTTCCATGACATTTTTCTATGATGAAATTTTACCTTGTGCAGGTTGTGGCATTTTACTCTCCATTCTAACCAGGAAGAGTTTCAACTGAGTACAATACCAAGCTTTCGGATTAGATATGGCGTCGTTTCATCCGCTTTCGGAAAATTCTAAAACTTCAGGGAATGCCGGGACTAACCGTGTGAGCTGAACAAGAGACTGGGGCTAGTAACATGGAGTCTTAAATTTTGTTCACTTGTAGCTTACATCATCCTCCCATCCTCGGAGACCCAGGGGCTGTGAGTCGATTTCAGCTCTCCCTCCCTGACTTGAAATCAACTCACAGCTCCTGAGTCTCCGAGAATGAGCTTACACTTGTAAAATACCAGCAGTGAGAGAGGATTGCCGTCCTGAGTTTAGGTGATTCCTAAGTATAGCACGGCGCATCCTCTGATGCGCATCAAAATCAAGTAATCAGGCGAATAAGCACGCGCGCCTTCCGAGAACACGGTATTGTTTTCGATCATCAATGGACCAGGCAGAGAGGAACGATTGTCTTTAGCTCTTGAATAAGCACGGTGACCTACACTTCTTCTTTTTGGCATAATTTTAGTGAATAATTTATTCCCTTTAAATTGAGGAAATTATTCGAAGGGAAAAAAAGATAAAGCTAAAAGCGTGCACGAAGCCCGTTACTAGAGAATACAAATTATCACCTTGAAAGAAACGACCAGAGGAACGTTTTGAGTTCAACCACGTTTTGAGTTGATATCATTAGTATTTGCATGATTTTCCCAAAAAATTATATTTCAAGTTGTTCCACACGCTCGAGACCTTCTATCTATCAAGTTTTTTTCAAATGTTTCTTTAAAAACCCTTGTTTCCAGCTGCAGCAAAATGTACCATGAACCAATGAAATGACGCGCGTGATTAATGCCAGTATAAGCATAAATGGGTTAAGTTTGGCCCATTATATCTCCTAACCAGGCACGGTAACGTATCTTTTTTATTTTATTTTTCGACACAGACATTGATAAGGAACATTTAAGGAAAGTTTAAAAAAATTGTTCGACAACTCTTTTTTTCTAAAGAATCACCTTAAGCTAGTAATAGTTCTCTCTAAAACCAATTTGACGTTCTAAGGACAATATATGCAAACTTCAATTACAGCACTGTTAAACCGCCTTACAACCTTACAGAAAGGAAACGTTAACGTTACACACTGAACCATAGTGAAACTTTTCTAAAATGATAAACTAATGAGCAGCGCTGCACAGCTGCGCGAGTTGAAATGTTGAAATTTTTGTTATTCTCCTACGAGTTTTTTCGGAAAATAGTAGACTTCGTTGGGGAGTTTTTACAAGTGGGGAGAATAAGCTTGTCTATAATTCATCAAATATTCTTCCTCGTGTGCGGTTGTTCTAAACCAATCACGTGATCGAATATGCCTCATCTAAAACTGGGGAATATCCGAGGACATAATGTTGGAAAGTTAGTAAATTAAGACTGAACCTGTATTAAGTGGCACCCTGTGAAGCGGTCACCCTTTAATAAGCGGTCTGTTTTCAAAGTCCCGATATTTTTTGGTCGTGGTCACCCTTTACTACACTTTTTAAATTAAGTGTTTTTTTTTTTTTTTAAATAATACTCTGCCATTCCCATGCTTGATACAGGTTTGACTGACCATCAACACTCCGCCGATAGCTTCGCCATCTCAAGCCCTCAGAGATCAAAAAGGCAATTTTATTTAGCGGTTGAGCGTTTATGTCACTAGAACACGTTGCCTTGTAGCCGAGGCAAGGAGCGGGAAATGTTGCGAAGATATTCTCACAGGTATAAGCAAAGCTGCTGGAATATAAATCCCATTCAACGAACAAGGATGCATGCATCAATGTATGCATCGTCAAGTGATGGCTTTCAATGGTCATTTAAGAATTATGATCAGAAGTAGTAGCTTAATTAAGATACTGGGCCTTTAAATACTCTTATTTTTGTAGTTTTTCAAAAGCAGGGAAAGTTGAAAATAGTTCGTTGCCCTTGTTCTTGTTCTTAAATTTTCAAAAAATTTAGGAAATAGGGAATTTCTGGAGGGAACCCTATATCTCCGAGGGAATTAAATAAAAGCGGGATGTAAGTGATTGACACAGATTACCGAAAGCCAACTCGAATGATTGATGAAACATATACCGCGACATAGTTTGCTTCAGGTCATTCCATACGAAACTCCAGTAGTGTTAAAAGCTTTTTTCTCATTTTTGAGCTGGACGAGGAGCAGGGGTAAAGGTTCAGGCTGTCAACTGTTATGAGAGGAAAACTTTTATCCGGTAAATGAAGATGAAAGATTTGCTCCTATTGATAACAGAGTAAACATGGGTGCGCTTTTGTGTGTACCTATGAATGGATTTTCACTGATCATGACTTTTTTCAAGGTTTGGTGGCTCCCAAAGGTTGGTTTTGTAAATTTGGAAGGTTAGTGTCTCTTCTTCTCGACCTTCTTTAATAGCAGCACGTTTCGTATGTTAAGAAGAACACTACCCTGAGCTATCGTTACACCAGCTAGAAGTTTTTTCAGTCCTTCGTCGTTTCGGACGGCCAAATGTAGATGTCTAGGGATGATTCTGGTCGTCTTATTGCCACGAGCGGCGTTTCCGGCTAACTGTCGAATATCTGCAGTTACGTACATCATTCTTGCTATATAAGTGATAATGGTATTCACAAGTCGGCATTTCGCCTGACTTTCTTACCCATATGTTTCCCGTGAGGTCAAGCCAAACATCACAGGATTTCAGCATTTGTCAAGAGCCGACATATCGTCTGTAACTGGTACATTCTCCACTTTCGAAAGATTGATTGCAAAGAAAAAGGCAACAACAGTAACAAGGAAAGCAAATCATATCTGGGCGTGGTAAAGGAGGTTAGGAAAAGGAGGCACCAAGCCTCATCAAAATATTCCACAAGACAACATCCAGGGAATCAGCAATCCGACGTCGGCATTTCTGGTCTTATTTACGAAGAGAACCGCGGAGTGTCCAAAGTTTTCTTGATAAACGTTATCTGTGATGCTGTGACCTACATCGTTTTTGTCGTTGTCATTGTCATTGTCACTATATAGGTTTCTTTAATATTCAGTGTAAAAGTCAGTGTCACTGAGATAGTCACTGTCCTTATTCAACAGCACTCCCACTCCCACTGTCACTGTTCCTGTGTTTTATTGTCACTTCTCTCTCACTGTCACTACGGCTGTCACTTAGACTGTTACCCTCTCTGTCTCTGTTCTGTCTCTGTGACTGACATAATCAGTGTCAGTTTGGGTGTCACTTTCATTATCTCTGTCCCAATAAATTTTATTGACACTATCACTTTCTGTGTCGCTAATTGTCGGTGTTGTCTTTTTCCCAGTCTCCGTCAGTTTATACGTTGTTGTTAATGTTTGTCACTGTCACTCTGACTGTCTACGTAACTCTAGCAACGTGAGATTTGTTCACTCCACCATTAGCAATAGTGCTCTTGCGGGCTGCCTTAGTGGCTCAATGGTGCTTTCCTATCAGTTGACTTCGGAGAAGTTTTCTTAGCACCAGCCATAGCTAACAAGAATTGACGTTTCGGTCATAAAACTTCGAAAATTTTCGTTTTCTCCATATAATGTTTTAAGAAATTGATTTGACAACAATCATTCAACGATCTGAATGGTTATCCAAGGTTTGTTTTTTACTGGCTGCAGTGAATTTCTTTGTTCTTGTATCCTCTTGACAAGTTGGCCTAATTTCCCCAAAACTCAAAATTGCCCTCAGATTTCAGTTGTTCACTTTCAATGTGTGCTTTTGGCAATGCAAAAATTTTTCGAAGTGAAAGTGGGTGTACATCACTCTCATACATTATATATACCAAAATTTAGGGCAATCTGATGTCTAGTTTGCTAAATACTGGAGAGTATGAGGCTTTGGACCCAGAGGAAATTAAGGAACCACCATTCTCTATCGTTATTTACATACTAGCTACTCTATCCTAAGTTTCTTGGCTGGGAAGATCTAGTTTTGGCAATGTGTTTACATTTGATGAAGTACACAAAAATGTGCATTGACCTTTAATTGTGATGCCAAACATTATCAGAGGTTCTTTTGACAATAATTTCATCACAACTGGTGCATAACTACTAGATAAAACTTCATGGTCAGCCAGCACCTAATAATGGTCACTATCCTTTCATTTAAAGGTCGTGAGTCTATTTTCCTCTTTTCTTTGTTTTGGGACTTTTTGGTGGACCGGAAACATCTGCAGAGATGCCCATCTTCACTGCAATTTCTTCATCTTGTGCTTTTAATTGCTGATCCACACTTGTTTTCAGCTGCAGAAAGCAAATGAATTATTAGTGGATAGGGCTCACTCTAGATACTACTTTGGAGACTAAGAAGTCCACATCCGTGACTTGTACAAAAGTGAAGTATAATTCTTTTTGTTTAGGTAATCAGTGTCCATCAATTACACAGTAACCTCTTACTTCTGATCTTACCTACTATGTTACTTGAGTGTTAAAAGATTCCATTTGTGGAAACTGCTCGCCTCAACAAAGAAATGTTGACACCAAGCTTTTGTTAGTGTTGAAAGAATTTCAAACAAATCAGCAAAATCCTGTGTTTGTAATTCAGATGTGAACAGCAATGATATTCAGAGTTTGTGTAGCCAATCAGAGCACACCTTCAACACTATCCACTGTTTTAGTTTATGCTGAAAGTTATTAGGTCTACTTACAGATAAATTAGTTTGACAACATTTATTCTTTTTCACGAAATTGTCTCAGTCTAGGCACATGTCCAGTATACTTCTAGATCTACCCTAGACTTGACTGATTTTTTTTTAATCGTTTTTCTTTTAGAGAGGTGCATGAACAACGTTTTCAAGGTATGGGTTGAAAGCACCATCGTGACTGGTATCTCATGTCCCAGAGTGCCTCACATATACCATATTTCCTCAAATCTGCACTCAGATGGTTAATTACAATTTCAGCTTAAAAGAGGAGTACTTATTGGAAAGTGGGTGCTCCATCGAGAGGGGCTCTTTTTAAGTTAGCCCAGCAATAGGGCAAAAACAAAAACAGATAACACACATAAGGGAATTCTGCTAGCAAAAGGAGATAGGAATGGGTGGGACAGAAAATAAATTATCCCCCTGTAATGATTCCACTGTAGTTGAATCTTAAAAAGTTGTAATTAAAGTGGCAATAGAAACAGGTTCTCCTTGTATCCCTACTATTTAAGAGAGTGAGGGAGAAGGGGGGGGGGGGTCTCATTAGAGAGGGGTGCTTTTTTGTCAGAGGACACCTTTTGAAGTGCAGGTGCTTATTCCAGGATATACAAAAGTTTGCACATCATTTTGCATTTGTGATTGTTTGGAAGGAATACATACTTGTTGAACCTGTTCAGAAAGAGCTGAGTTTATGATTGCTTTGAGTTCCTTCACTGCTGGAGTGTCTAAAAAGTAAATAAGAAAAAGAGAAGTATATCCAAGCCAAGTTAGTACTGTCTCAGATCCAAGTAACACCACTTAAACTAAAATTTTCCTTCCCTGATTTGGCGATTAGTATCTACACCAAGAAACAAACTAGGAAAAATTGTCTTTTTCTTTTATGGTTTACCAATAATTCTCAATCCGCATTGCACCAAGATCCATCATTACCTTGATACAAGGGAATACACCTAGAACTGATGACTCCCAGATTGGGAATGCCACAAAGTGTTATAGATCAAATCATTCAGCACCTTCTTCTTGAACAGTGACTGCTTCTGCTTCTGTTTTCTCAACATCACTAGTAACCTTTGTTTTGCAAGAGGAATAAAAATATGAGAACCAGTCATACAACTACAACTGGAAGGAAGGGATTCTGGGAGGAGTAGGGCTTCCTTAAAATACCTGCATATTTGTTATTTTTGATTTCAGGCAAATTTTCAAGCATAGAGAATAATTAAGTGCAGCAATTCAATAGAACATTAACAGTGTTGGGATCCTGACTGACAGGTGAAAAAACAGTCAGCTATTTCAATGTGGACAAGGAGGGTCTTAATTCCAAGACCTCTGAAACCAGTGTCCCAACCATTTTGTTATACAGGCAGAATGTAATCTTGAAAATGGAGCACTGTCACAAAACAGAACTCAAAGCACAACCAATTAGTCCAAACAAATTAAGTTTTTGGCAACACAGAACTTTACATCAAAGGGATGATAACCTTGAAGATAAATGTAAAATTCCTTTCTACTGGAAAGTAAATGTAAAACCTTTAAGGTCTTACTCTGAAAATTAAATCCCAAGATATTTGAGACAATTTTTCTCTCTGCAGCTGAATATTCACTTGGGTATTTGTTCTCTTAATTTAGTGTGAGATATGGAAAATACTGTCAAACTGGATTCCCTCATTCTAATCTTCTGCCTGCCCTTAATATTAACTAAAAGTGTGAGTAAAGGGTCTTCAACTCACCTCTTCAGCACCACCATCAGCTCCTTGGTCTGCTTCACCAACTAAACAAAATGTTCAAATTTGAAATTTTTGTGGGCAAGATGAAATAACTCCAACTTTTTCAGGTGCAAAAAAACATACTGTTAACACAATGTAAAAAGGATACAGTGCCTACCTTAATTTGGATTTTTGATTAGGATCATTGAGAGGAAAAAAAGTGTTATTATCCTAAGAACAGTAAGTGACAAGATGTCACAATGAACCAGTGTTTGAAGAGCATTGTTATTTGAGAGCTAAAGATAGCAAGATGGAACAGTGTATTTAAGAATCTCTGCAGATAATTTATTTTTAGCTTACAAAGCTTGTTTTGTGGGCAATTCTGGCTAGGAGTTGCATAAGTGATAAAAAGAACAGCTTGTATACCTTCAGAGGGTTCTGGTGTTTCTGGCAATCCAATGTATTTCAGACTAAGGTCAAGACGAACCTATCAATATAAAGAAATTACTTTGTAGCACAACTTCTATTAAAATTCCTCTTTTGTAAGGTAATGTCCCCAAAGACTGTGAATATATCTAAATCATATAACAAGCCAACTGGGAGCTACCAGTTGGTTTGTTAGCTTAGTTGCTAGAGCACTGGACTGGTACTGCAAAGGTCATGAGTTCAAATCCTGTACAGGCTTGAATTTTTTCAGGCTTTATTTTCACTATGGCGTAAGCAATGTTTGCATGTTACAGCAAAGATCTCTTTCATTTTCAATGTCCCCAAAATTGTATTTCCCACATTTCATTTTTTTGTATTAATAACCAGAGAACATACCTTTGGTGTAAATGTATACTTGTACATCTTAAAATGCCTGAAGTACCTGATAAAATCAGAAAATATCAATTACCCACACACTCTTAACATTTAATTTATACAAGCATTGAAAAATCATAGAATGGTTATGACTGACGAAGTTCTTTTCACAACAATTGAAAATCTGTACTTACTTCACTTTTCAGTTTTATAGAAAGTAACAAACAACGAACAAAGAGTAACATTCATTGGCAGATCCAGACCTCAAAGAAAAGGGAGGTAGCACACTCAAATGTATGTGTACATGTACTTCTGAGAATACTTTAATTTACTGGTAGAATATATGTAATCTATGGAATCATAGGCCTTCAAAAAGTAGAACTAAAGGAGCTTCATGGAAATCTCCTCAGCCACATTGTTTGTTCATTGCAAAAGCAATGCCACATTGTGTAAACAGTTGTAAATATTATCACAGCCACAACCTGAGTTAAGTAAGAACTAGTTTGACATACGTGTTGACTGCATATGTGGTTAGCTTCTTCACTTGATCAACTGAGAAAAGAGCAACACTGTAGGGTGGTCTCTGCGATGGATTTCAATATAAAAATGAATCAAAACTCTGAATATCAGTTGAGCTCAGGCAAGTTTTTTTAAAACCTTTTGTCGTAAAGTCATAAAGAAAAGAAAAACTTGTATCCTTGATTGAACTTTGTTTATTATATGTGATGGTCTCGAAGCATCAGAAACTATATACAAGTAATTTGATATAAAACAGATGAATCAAAATCAAGCCACAAAATCAAGGTGTGTCCTGTACAAACGAAACCGCAAACATGTGGCTAAAGGTTACATGAAGAAATTGATTAAAAATAAATGTGACTGTTCGTAACACCTTTAATTAGAAAATAATTACAAATTTTTATTGGCCATTTATTTTTAAAGCAAAGTGTGGTATACCATAATTAATTAAATAGATATATGCACATAGGTTGACAAAAATGAAAAGCCACAAGAAAAGGTGATTGTTTAGAATCATGCAAACACACAATTGTGGAGTGAGTGAGTGAGTGGCTAAGTGAGGCTGAAATGAAACCAACAAGTTGTTCTCCCGTAGGTAATGCTCTATTTGCTATCTGACCGTGAACTTCCTGCTTTTTTAAGTATTTCAGAGAGAGAAGTAAAGTTTTCTCAAGCACCTATTTTGAAAATTGTTAAAAGTTATATTCCCTTCCATTTGCTGTTTATGGCCAAGACAACGAGGTGAGTGCCGAACACTTATCAAATAAATGTATGTAGATAGCCCCTTCAGTTCACATACAAGCAGGAATGTTGTCACAACTGGTGGTACAGGATTTTATTATAGCCTTCTTTGCTCTGTATGGAGTATGGAGGCCTGCAATACAGTTTTTTCAATTTTTTCCTCTTTGCTCAGATACTGAGCTCATGCAATTGAACATTTTATAAGTAAGTCCAGCCTGGAAAAGTTTAATGATTGGAGCATTAGCATCCTTTAGCTAACATATGTTAATAACTACAGTGAAATGATCACAGAATGGCCTAACTTAAGCATGTGATTGTAGGAGTGCAGGAATGTAATAAAATCTGAACAACCCCCCTTCAACACTTGAGAATTGAGAACAATTGACACATTGGCTACATGAAGAAGATTAAACAGCCTTGATAGTCTGGGAGCAAATGTGGTCCCGTGTGAAGTTCGTGCTGAAAGCAAGCACCTAGTGTAAAAGTGTTCATTAGGACCTACTAAACATGAAAAGTTTTGGTGCCAGCTTTGCAACTTGCTCAGACGGCTTTTAAGGGGGGTTAAATTCTGATCCATGAAATCTAGCATGGAAACGAGGCTAAAACACATAATTCCTCATAACTTTGTTAATAACAGACGAAAATACACCAGACTTGCTCACATGATTGGGCATGGTCCTCCCTGTTGGTTTATGTTAATTAACATAGGTCACGTGACCTTACGCATGAAAGCGAGGCTGAAACACATAATTTACTATAAATTTGTCAAAAAAAATCCTTATCATGCCAAACTTGCTCACCTTAGTCAGTTAGACATCTTGCATCGATTGGTGCCACTTTGTAGTGTCACGTGACCCCATACATGGAAACGAGGCTGGATATATCTGGTAGCATCGTGTAGGATGGCATTTGTCCTGCCAAATGTATTAACAACTACTAGGCAGATACATATCTGGTTATCCGATTTCAGATATAAAAACTTCAACTAATCATTGTCCTATGGCCCATAGCACAGGGACAAGACGGATAAAGCAAATACTGCGGAGGCTCCATTTGAGAATTTATCTTGTACACATAATCAATAATTTTGCCAACTTATGATACTGGTTCCATGTATTCATTTTCGCATGTTTATTGGAACAAGGGCAGAAAATGAAAATAGCGACCACTGCTGTTTTATATATACAGTCATGAAAGTCTTACTGAATATCTATTTACATTGTTCTGTTGTCCATTCCTATGGAATTTCCTGTTCGGCTTCGTCTTCATCATACTCATCATCACTTTCAGCATACTCGTTCTGGCAATCTTCAGAGCACAGACAGAGATCAGTACAGACAAGTCCGACTTTTTGACACTGACAACGGTTGTTAGAGCAACGGGACTTGGCGCACTTGCATCGGACAAGCTGTATAATTGCCTCTGAAGCTGGTGTAAGATTTGTCATGACTGGTACCCACTTTCCATCTTCATCTTGCCATCCATAGCCTTCTGGTGAGGGCAACACCGGGTTTGCTACATGATCGTTGTTCCAAACAAGAAGCTGTTAGTGCGCTCTCAGTATGGCTTGATGGAGAGCAGCTTGTGTGCGCGGCAACCTCTCAGACTCAGCTTGATTTTTCTTAAAGAGGGACCATCTGAGGGCTTTGACAGTTTTGATGTCTGTCTTTGGTTGGTACATCTGACAAACCAGCTGTTCCACTCCACTTCTTGTGCCGTTATCTGGCTGTTCCCCACAACCGAGGTTAGCAAGAGCTTGCAAGATAGGAGTGCTGGTGTTATCAAACTCATCCCAACAAATGGCTTTTCCCTTTCCAGAGAAACTCCCAGTAACATCTGCTCCAGTCAACGCATGAAATGCTGACAGAGCAGCTGTCTTAGTGGGCCCAAGGGCGTCTGCGATTGACTTCAAGTTGATAACTCTACGACTACTGCCGGTTCCAGTAACAAAGCAAGGGTTGGAGCACAAATCTGGATACCGTCGGAGAGCCAAAACAAGAACATCAGTGTCAGGAGAATATATAGATAGTTGGGTAGCACCTTGAGCAGAGGCATCCAGAGCATGTAAAATAATCTTCGTGTCGGCTTCTTCTTGTGTACTTCGTAAATGCCTGATGTCTCTGTGCGTTGCCTCACATTCCGTTCCCCATGCCACAACGACTTGTCTCCCATTGCGAAATAGGATTGTAGAAATCGCTCATAATAAAGTCATATAAGCCACACGAAATACATTATCATTGCAGCTTTTTAGCTTTTATTTTTTTCATTCAAATGCTATACATACAGCATTAATATGCATTACAATGAGTCAACGTTATTGTCCTGGATGATGTGTTCACCTTTGGCGTGTTTTGGCATCCAGCCTTATTTCCTTGTATGGGGTCACGTGACACTACAAAGTGGCACCAATCGATGCAAGATGTCTAACTGACTAAGGTGAGCAAGTTTAGCATGATAAGGATTTTTTTTGACAAATTTATAGTAAATTATGTGTTTCAGCCTCGCTTTCATGCGTAAGGTCACGTGACCTATGTAAATTAGCATAAACCAACAGGGAGGATCATGCCCAATCATGTGAGCAAGTCTGGTGTATTTTTGTCTGTTATTAACAAAGTTATGAGGAATTATGTGTTTTAGCCTCGTTTTCACGCTGGATTTCATGGGTCAGAATTTAACCCCCCCCCCCCCTTAAAAGCCGTCTGAGCAAGTGGCAAAGCTGGCACCAAAACTTTTCATGTTTAGTAGGACCTAATGAACACTTTTACACTAGGTGCTTGCTTTCAGCACGAACTTCACACGGGACCTTATTTTATGACATTTGCTCCCAGACTGTGACCTCCACAGGCATAAACAACAAAGTTTCCTAACTGCCAGTTAAATGTGTACTAGACTACAAGGAGAAGTTCTCTATTGCCTGACATAATGGCTATCATATATCAACCACGGGATAAATCCTTCAACTGCACTGTAACACTGCTTTCATTGATGACAAATAACAATTACAACAACAAATTAGAACAAGTCTTTGATAAAAATAATAATAATAACACTAACAGTCAGTCACAATTTAAAAAAATATGCCACAGCACCTTGACAGAATGACAAAGAAGAAGTTCCTTAAAGTATTCAAAAACTGGTTCCACATTCCCATATGGTGTATCTGTAAGATATCAATAATACTCTACTCTATCACATGACCAAAATGAACTTCTCAATGAATTATGAGTTTCTCCTTCTGGTTGGAAGAAAAAGAAGAAACCTTTTTGCCATAGAATCTCTCTAGTAGTTGTCCAGTGTGCACCCTTCTTTCATTTTTCTTACAAAATTACATTTCATAGGGATAAATCAGTTTGTTAAAAAGATATATAACAAGTTTGACAAGTGATTATAGAATTTTGCTAATTTTCAAGTTGAGAATTTAATCAAATCTCTTGCATTCAATTAAAATGCAAAATTTATTACATGTCAATGATAAATTAAATTTTTTAAGATTTGTAGATGATTCCACATAAATTTGGACACAAATGTTTTAATATCACAGTTTCCTCACATAAAATTAATGGTTCTTGTTTTCAAATAAATATTTCGCTCACCAACAGCCATCTCGTGAACACACTTGATAATAGAGAACCATGCTGACATCTGTTCTGCGGTAAATCCATTTTCTTTACCAAATGTACAGTTGTTGGTCAAGGAAAAAATTTATGTTGAAGCCAGTTCAAAATTACCAACTGAAGCTTTATTTAATGTGACTGACTTATGTATTCTAGATATTGGTGGTTAAATTGCTGTTGGGAGACACAATGGCCTTGTGGACGGTGCACTGAACTCCAGGTCAGATCACTTTTGATGAACTTGCATCCCATCCAAGAGGGTACAATAAACTCCTTCAGCTTGTCATTACATGCCTGAGAAATCAGGAAAGCTAGGCCCCATGAGTGCCATGCAGCCCTTTATGCACAAAAGAAAACTTTACCTTTTTAAGGTGATAAAAGGATATTGCACAGTATAAAAATAAAGATCCACAAGGATCCCCTGCCTGAGGTCATCTTTCCAATCTTTTAGGCGGAGGATATCTGCCAATAGACTTAAGAATGAAAAGGAAGGCTTCAACTTATTTTAATGCTTTGATCAGTTTCATTTCATATCAAATAGTTGAATAAGGAATAACATAAAATCAATCACAGGTTAATAGCTAGCAAAATTGAGCACTTCTCTGTAGTTAAGCCCCACTAATTTCTGTTGGAGAAAACTTGTTTTGCTACTTCTAGAGTTATACAATAAATGGTTTTAACTCTGAGTGGTAACATGTGATGGCTGGAGTATTCTGATTGTCTGGGTGAGTGTAGTCCTGAGAGGGACTGATGTGAGTAGTGAAGACTGCCCTTTTGACAAGCACAAACTGAAAAACAGACAGGGAGCAGTTGATAAGATCAATTGCTCTGACTGCCACACCTCCCACTTTGGAAAGACTGGCAAAAACCAGACAACAAGACTGACTGAACACAAGTGGGCAACAAGGAAAGGTGATGTCAACAATTGAATTGCTGAACATCATCAACTTACAAACCACACCATTGACTGGGACTCTGTGCAATGCTTAACCTACAGCACTAACTACTTTCAACAACTGACTCTGGAAAGCTGGTGTCCTAACTCAAAACAGACTTCCCTCAACAGGTGTGATCTACTACTGCCACCATATGCACAACTTATTCACAACATAAACATTACAAACAAACTGAATAGAACCACCTTACTTTACCAAACAATCAAAGCAGACCTATCATGACCGACTCACGCCACCTGAGTCTTACAGCCAATAACATCAAGGCAAATCTGACCAATCAGTTCATAGGAACTGGACTAAGAAAACTCGACTGACAACAACTATTTACTTGACTCTGATGATGACTTCTGCTCAGGTTGTCGAAACATGAAAGTAATTATTACCAACAACAGTCCTTCTCAAGACTATACACTCACCCGAACAATCAGAATACACCATCACAGTTATGAAGTTGTGGGTGATTCCCAGCTTCCCCTCTTTTCCATGGATAATGCTTACAGTTCTGAGGTGGGGAGGTGGAGGGGGAGAGATAATTCATACAACAGGCTATAAGAGTATGCTCTTTCTTTTGCTTATTTTAAACTTCTCACACACCATTCTGTTGAGTATGCATCTGGACCTGGACTTACTGTCCACAGCAGTGGCTCACTAATTACCCAGCACTTGTGTTCTTACTGATGCTTTTAGTCATTTATTCTTGGTTACTTTACCAAAAATAAATTCATATTTTAATTAGTTTTTGTAGTGATAGTAGCTGTAAGTTAAGTATTCTATGACCAGTGGAAATCTTTTTTTTTCATTTGGTTTATTTTTGCAATAATTATGTTTCTATAATTAATTCATCTCAGTTCACTGTAAATGTTTTTGATTTAGTAAGATTATTGTTAATGTTAAGTGATCTATTGTCAATCTTTGTGTAGCCATACTTTTGTAGGCTTTTAATAACTTTAGTCTTTTCAGTTTATTCCTGTTAGTTTTTGACAACCTATTGTCAAAAGCTTACCACCGATTTAAATTAAGAGTCTTTTGTTCTCTCCAGACACCTCGCCTCTACTAGCATGTACTATATGCGAGTTTTGTCTGTACTTTATTTGTAACTATAGAAATAATAATAATAATGTTTGTTCATTTGTATTGAAAATTGTTTGTCATATTATTTCTCATGTAACTAACCTTTGTACATCCTCTGGAGTTTCACTTCTTTGAATGTCTACCACATTGTCTAGAGTTAAGTCAGTCCTACAATAACAGACACCAGCAAACCGCATTATTAGAAGATGAGTTCATAAACCTCAAATTACCGAAGGTATTTAAGAGCCAAGTTTTTCCATAAAAAGGAAAAACAAGCATAACCATTGGTTTGCAAATTTGTACAGATAATTTGTCTCATCGGTGTCCATAACGGAGAGGTCCAACTGTTATTGTTCATCTCTCGTTAGGAAGCGATAAGCAAGCACAAAATGATCAGGAAATTTCGTGAACTTAGAAGAAGATTAATTTAAGGTAATGTGTTATTACGCGGAGTCCGTTTTAGGTCATTTTAAGTGAGGACATTCTGGTTTTGTTTTTGGTAACAGCTGGGTCAGTGTTTCATCGGGTGTCATAGGAAATAAGCTCTTACCAAACAAGCACTTTCGGCTTGAAATTCTTTCCCTGAAAATAAAAGCAGAACGTTAACTGTATCATCCTAGAAGCAATGAAAAGGAAGAAGGAAGGAAGGTACCTCGGCTAGAGAAGGCATTATGATTGTTTCCTCAGGTTTCTGTTTTCGTCCGTCAAGCCGCCATACTTTGTCTCCAAGCTACTGACTAACATTGAGCCCGCAGTGGTTATAGACACAAAAACCCGCATGAACAACTCGATGCCAAAAACACAAATCTCCATCTCTAAATGCGCGGTCCCTTAGCACTATTGAAGTAAACAGAGAGTTAGAGAGGTTGACAGATCTGCCTCGAATATGTGAAGTTAACTTAAATTTTAATGATAATGTTTGGTGGTAATAAAAAAAAGGACCGTGTCGAATTTGTTGAAAAAGTGCAGGCTGCTCGACAACAACGATCCGAAGGAAAAGAAAGGGAAAGAGCTGCTATTCGCATTCAGGTATTTATATATAGACTGCTAAAGATAGATATCTGATCGCTAAGGAGGAATATGCTCCAGAAACCACATGATCACTATTTATGAGTATTTAAGAACTTTTAACCATCCTTGAAAAATTAAATTAATCTTTTGAAAATATTTGCTGCCGGAATTCGTGAGCCAACCAGTACAACAGCTGTTTTAAATAGTGCATGTTGTGCTTTTCTATTTAAAGGCTAGATTACTTAGATGTCTTTAACCGGCATCCGAAGAGGAATTTTAGCACCAGTCAAACAGAGAAGTTACTCAAAACAAGTAGTGACTTTTGATAGGAGAGATGAAATTTGTAGTGTTTAAGCAATGAACCACTTTTTGAAAGAACGTAAAAATACTTTGATTGCCAGACTCGCATCACTTACTGACTTGACTTAACCTAACCTAAATAACATGGACACCTTATTATATTTATACTGTTACTTACATAACATTACATGATGAAAGGTGATCAAAATAAATTTCACAAGTTAACAAATCAACACCACAAATTTTTTTTATAGAGCATGTATACTACTCCTTTATATGACCACACTTAGCAAGGTGCGAGATTGTGCCTGTCTGGTAGTAAGTGTGACTGAAAATTGAATGTCAGTGACTGGAATTTTAAAGGTAGTCACAAGAAGGCAAGTTATCCAGTGTCCCCACTGGACAACATTTTTTTTCTAATTGAAAACATTCACATTTGGTTCCCAAGAAGGATTATAGAACCTCCACTGAAAAATAAATTAAAAGTGTTCACAAAATGTACTGTGCTTTCCACCAGATAGAGATTTATCCAGTATGTAGTGTTACTCTCCCTTTGAACAACCTGTGCCAGGAAAGTTGCAATAATTGATTTAGAGGCAGTCATGTTTTCAGCCGTTAACATGACAGCCATACAAAGGGCACATTCCATTTGTGATGGGTCTGCTTTCCTGGTGCTCTGTTTGGCACTGGTTTATACTCTGAAAATGTTCAAAAGTGTTTTAAAATGAGAAGGGGAAGAAAGTGCTATTTATTAATAAGAAGTTCATGTTAAGTTTGGATATTTTACCAGCCTCTTAATTGTAAGACAAAGATTTCTCCATGTGAACTGAAAATGATCTTTTGTATACTGTTGTACACTACTCATATTGTTTAAAGGAACAGCACTCTAAGCTCAACTATTTTCAAAGTCACCATAAAATAAAGAAAATGGTGTGGCTGGCATTTATTTTTGTAGAAAACAAAGAAAATAAATGAACTTTGTCTTCTGACCCTACACTTGTAAAAAGTATGTTTTAAAAACATTACAACCTGCTACATAACTATCAAACAAAGGTTGCAAAATGGCCACTTTCACTGCAAAATTATTTGGCAAAAATTTTATTGTAGTCTCCATTGTGACCAAAATGGTCACAGCATGGAGCTTTGATGAGGAAAATATTTTCAGCTAAAGTGTGCCTTAACAATCTCACATTTCTTTGTATTTCACATTGAAGCTAAAATGTTGTGAGTGGAACTCTTTAATGACTAGTTTTTCCTACTTGGCGATGTTTAAAAAAATTGTCTAGCAGCACTTTGTGCCCCTATAGTATTTAGTATAAATTATATATATATTTGCCCCAGTGCAAACAAATTTTGTTGATGTTGTCACCTAGCGGATATAACCTGAGATTGATTCATCTTAGATGTTACCCAGAGAGCTTTGATCCCTTATTTCGAGGTGTTGAAATTTGTTAAAGCAACCATTTTGCTGTGTACATTAGGGTTATTATATACTAAGTCAATGAAATTTTTGAAAATTCTGCTTCCTTTTTGTGCTTTCTCAGGCATGGATGAGGAGGCTCCTGTGTATTGCCAAACTGAGAACTGAAACAAGGTATTTATTAACTTAGTTGGTGCCCAAAAACACTTTATAATGTTAATTAATCCCATTTTATGTTGGCTTGTGGTGAAGAAGAAGCCAGATTATAATTTACCACAAAAATTTTGCCAGGGACCTTGCTATCATATCTTATTCATCAATTACCAATTAATTATTTATTAAAATTTTTTTTCATTCTATCAGAAGCTTATAACATCAAAGCACTTATGTATGTCGGAGAGCTGGGGCTTATTAAAGTGTAAGACCAGCCAATTAATCTTGTGTAACATGTAGTTGGAAAACTGCAAGTTTGTGTGCACTTTTCATTTTGCTGTGAGTGTTATTTCAGAGTGATCAACTGTATTTTCACAACTTTCTTGTCTGAAATATAGACACTACTTTCAGTCAGCCTAAAATCTTCAGTCAAAAAAAGTTGGAAAGTAAATCAGTTTCTGAAAATATCATTTACCTCAGGCTAGCTATCTAGTCTTCTGTACACAACTTTTACAACTCCCGTAGTAGATTTGCTGTTCATATTTTTCACCTTCTTGCTGCCATGAAAGGTATTGGATGATCGAAGAATCTTTCCTTAGGAATAATTGTGTAGTCAGTACATGTGTCACTGTAGTAAACTTAAATTCCAGAGAAGTTTGTCATAAATAAGTTTGTTTCTTGCACATTCAGGGAGGAATTTGACCAGTTTATTGAGCAGAGTGGAACTAAGAAACCTTCAGGTTTGACTGTTATGCTCTTTATAGATCAGTTGACGTATATCAGTTTCAGAGATTTGAATGTTGTGCTTCAGAATGCCAGTATGGAATTTTGATGTTCAAGCAACAAAAACAAGACATTCATGAACTTGAAATCTGATCAATTCCACCTGTCAAATCAAATTATATACAATGCATCTTGTTCTGATATATGAGATATCCTGAAGTAAGCTACAAGGAATTACACCAAATTTGTTGTTGATTTTTTTTGTAAGAAACAGGCTCAAAAAGCAACCACAAGAGGTTTTCTTGGAGGTTTTGTTGTTGTTATGGTATCCTTATTTGTCATATCATGTAATCACAACTTTTTTAGAATAATTGGGCATTTTTCTGGGTGAGGATTGCAGTGGTGTGGTTGTACCAAAGAATTGATGTTTAAAACTAAACTGTTCTTTGCCACCTTCTTAAAATATGTAATTAATAGATATTTTTGTCTTTCTGCAGCAACTGATGTCTTTCACCTTGCAAGAAAATTTCTTTTTACTTTCCATTTGAAGGATGATGAGAAGGTATAATGGTAATCGAAAGTTTTAAATATAAAAATTCTTTTTTGTGGTAACATCCTAGAATTCTTACCCCTATTTTGTTATCTGAGTTATTGAACAGCTTATAAATAAATATGAGGTGTCAAAGAAAATGAGTAATTGACAGAAATAGTTTTAAATGGTCATTTAATTGAAACTGACAATAACAAACTTTACCATGATTTCAAATTTTTTTTTTTTTGCATGTGCAGAGATTTGAAGCACTATGTAGACTTATACTTGGTAGCATGGAAGCCCAAAGTGAACCCAGGGTGAGTAGGGTTTTTTTACCCCTTTGACTTTTGACCCAAGCATGGAGTACAGGGACCATAAATCAGAGCAGAAAAATTAAGATCAAGTACTTGCACCAAGGACAAAGACATTTGCAGCCATTGCTTCATTGATAATTACAACCATGATAAATTGCTTTCCATTTGGGGCTAGCTTACCACAGAACTGTTATTTGTCCTGCAAATTGTTAGGAAGGAGACAAGAAATATCAAATTATCCTTTTAACTGAATATAATGAGACAGAAAAAAAATGGCACATTCTTCAGTTCAATAATCATATAAAGGAAGATAATGAATCCAGTTACTACAACAACATGTAGGTATTGCATCAAGCTTAGTCTGATTCCTTATAAGAAATTAACTGTGTCTTGCACAACTCACAATAAATATTTTTTATTCATCAGGATAATTTCAAAAGTTCCCAGGCCCCTATATTGAAATGAGAATGTTGTTTGTGTTTTACTTATTTAAAATCAGTTTAACTTATTTTTAACTGTAATTTGTCTTAATACCAAGGTGGTAATTATGATGATGGTGATAATCTGAAACATATGCTGATAGAAATGAAACTAAAGTAAAAACTTTCAAACTAAAGATGAATTTAAACTACAAGATATAGATGTTTAGGAACACCCTAAGTAAGAGGTGTCAGGTGTTAGAGGAGAAATAAGGTTGATATGTAAGTATTTTACTGTGCATCAATTAATTAAACACATGATTAACCCTGTTGGTTATATATGACTTAAAGATAAATGTCAAAATATGACAGGGAAAGGGGGAAGAGGGGATCAAAAATTCTCCTGAATGTAGATGTGTTTTAAAGGAGATGTTTCATCTCATAACTGCGGATGAATTTTCTGTTGCAGCTCTCATTAAATGTTTTATTTTTCTTTTCATCTTTTCAGCTGTGGTATGTGTCAGTTGTCCTTTCACATGATCTTGTTCTTCTCTGGCTGCATCAACTCAAACACTTGTTACTGATTTGCTGTAAACTGCTTCGTAAGCTCAAGGTGATCATTAAGCTTTAAAGAAAGTTACTCTTTAATACCAATGGTACATTGAAGTTAATAATTTGCCTCTCAGTCAATGTTTTGCACATTTTATCTTTGTATTCCTGTTTGTATGTTTTTTCAGCCTAGTGTTTCCACAGATGCAAAAAAGATCAGCATCTATTTGAATATGGTAGGTTAGATAATATTTGTCAAATATTACTTATTCAATGTTACCAGAAGCATATAACCTACTTCTAGGTTACATGCTTCTGATGTCAAATGATAATTGTTCGTCAGACTTATTTGTGTAGTAATCAGGTAATTAAAAAGGTACACCGGCTGGTATTTAGGTAATTGTGAAGAAGAGCTCCCCAAAAAACCTGTCAGCCGACAGACGGCCAACAGGTTTTGCCCGAAATATCAGCTACCTGTTGGCTGACAGTCAGCCGACAGTCGGCTGACTGTTGGTAATGTGTCGGTAACCTGTCGGTAGCTTGTCGGTAAAACGTTAACACAAACCTTAATGTTTTCTCTTGGTTTTCGCTTGATAAAACATCCAACATGTGTAATACATTGACAAGAATAGCCTTTCATAGATTTGGTGGCTCCTAAAGGAGCCGTTTTGTGAGTGGTGAAATATAAAAGATACTTCACTGGTAGAATCGTGCCTCAAACTTCATTGGCAATAGCTGCCCCTCTCTCCTCATGCTGCTCATGACCAGGATGTAGTGCCAAAGTCTTTTGCGACAGACAACCTCCAGATCTCGCACTGATTTAACTTCTTGGTCGCAGAGGACGAGGTCCAGTTCCCTCGAGTCGACCTTTTTCAGTTCTGCTATTGCCACGAAGTCTCGTAGTGTGCTCCGAGGACAGCCTGCAAGACGGAAGGCACAGGCCATGCTGCATCTGTTCTCTTTCATTGTCTGGAGAACCTGGTCATATTGTTTGTGTATGTTGGCCAGGCTGTGGGTGCTGACGTGAATGTCTGCTGTCTGCTGGTGTTGCTGTTGTAATGCGGGTGGGTCTTCTTATGGCGCGGGTTGGTCTCTGCGTCGCACCTCCGCTCTGAGTTCTGCCATGACCTTCTTTGCATTTAAGAGGCGCCTCTCAAGGTTTTTAATGACCTCGTCCTTGTTCCGCACAAGGTTGGCTAGCTCTTCAGCCTCTTTCTCGCGTTCCTCTAGCAATGCCGTCAGCTCCTGGTTCTGTTCCTGCTGGTTCTGGAAGGCCTGACCCACTCTTTTGTAGTCCTTTTGCAGTGACTCGTACTTTTTCTTTAGATCGTTGTGTGACATATCTGCAGGCTGTTGACTGGAGACTGTTGACTTTGATGTCTTTTTTCTTTTCTGAGGCGGGCGTTCATTACACAAACATCGCCTACTGTCACCGTAGCAGACGCCACACCTATTCTCACAGTGAAAAATAGAGTGGTCGCGGCCGCACACTGTGCACTTTAAGATTCTCTGAGACATGTTGTTGTTTGTGAACTATTACGTGGTAATGATGATAACTTTTTTAACTTAAGGCTTTTCATACGCTATCATCGGATCAAGTCCGTCGATCAGTAAGTAGGTGAAGTCTGTTGAGTCATACATCACCATTCGGATTGTTATGTCACGTTAACTGTTCGTTTTTAACACAATTTTTCTTTTTTCTTAACCTGTCAGTAACCTGTTGGTTAGCTGTCGGTAGACTGTCGGTAGACTGTCGGTAACCTGTCGGCGGACAGTTGACCGACAGTTGGCCGACAGGTTTTTTGGGGAGCTCTTCTTCACAATTACCAGTATTTAAGCATTAAAACTCCCTGATTTCCAGTTTACCATTCTTGTGAAGGAGACTTGTCTGATAAATGACCAAGCCCTGGTACAGATGAGGTTGCTTTTTTAAGAGTATCTCTGGAAATAAAGCATCTGTATTTCTCAGAGTTGTTTACTTTTTAAATAAAACAATTTGACTGATTTCATGGGGTGGAAGATTCAGCAATTTAGTAACAGGTAAATTAAATGTAACAAAGAAAATAGTTATAAATTATTAATAATAAATGAATGTGTTATTTCAGCATTGTAGGTATGGCTTCTTTTGTAATGAATTAACAAGTATCCAATTGAATGGTGTTATTCCATTCTGTGTGATGGACTGTATACGTACACGTTTACACACACGTGTTTAAATATATAAGGATAAGGAAGAATGGTGCTATTCCATTCACTGTATAGCTACACACAAAATTTATTGTGATTTCAGCTGATTGTATTTACTGATTGTGGAAACTGGAAGATTTTAAGCATGAAAGGAGGTGAGAGAAGATACAAGTGATCACAGTTTTCTCTGATTTGTTTGAGTGGGCAATAAATGTCCAGAGTGTGCACTCTTTAACACCCATAGCAGCTTAGAGAGGACTATTTTCTACATGAGAAATAGCATTTATTATTACAACTCTAAGACTTGAAGCCATAAGAGTGATCAAAAGGGATCACATTACTACCATTCCTTGTCTTGTTTGTTGTTCTTTTAAAAAGTATGGCATCATACCTGTGAGACAATATTTTCCTTATCCACCATTTGTATTGCCCAGTTTATATAGAGTAATCAAATGTGGAACTGGGATTATAATCTGTATGTCTCGAAAGAAATATCCATTTCTTAGGAACATGGGATTCTTCTTTGCAAGTTGATTGCTCCCTGGATTACAACTGACCATTGTGTCTCCAATACAAATGGAATTTTAAGAATACTGAGGTTCAACTTATGCTCTGTTAAGGAGACAGATAATCAGGATAATGAAGTTGTTGTCAACTAAAAAATTAGAAGAGCTAAAATATTTGATGGTGTTAAATGTCAAATTCCTAGATTGATTTTTCATTGTGATATCCAATAGAAAAAAGCCTTTGTCTCATTGTTTCAATTAACATTTAAAGGGGAGGCCCTTCGGCAAAGCTTGCAGCAACTTTGTGCAAATGTTCTAGGGCATTTGAACAGTAAAGGACTGTATCCATCATTGAAGGTATGTGCTGAGGTTAAAATCATTTCAGTCTGAAATGATTTCAGACATAATTATTTGATTTGTATTGTCCTCTACTGAGAACTATGAGTGGTATATATGGGACAAAGAAAAAGTATGTTGAACTTTCTTTGGAAGCTAAATAGTGTGAAAGATTTTTTCATATGACCTGCTCTTTCCCTTGCTACAGTTTGACTGTCACTGGTAGATTAGTTATGAAATAGCCTGGCATAAATTTCAGTGTATCTCATGTGGAATAAATTTCATTGCTGTCAACTGCATGGGTTATCATGACTAAAGCATGTGGTCAGAAATGCCTTTGAAAGCATTTGGTGTGATTCTTTTTTGCCTTGTGTTGATGTAGCTAATCCACTGAGTCAAACATGGCGTGTATTCAGGCAGATCAAGATTTTCGAAAAATGTATTACATAAAAGAAATTAAGAAGAGCCTTGATGCTTGTACATTTTGCATTTATATGCCTAGGACAGGACCTCATCATGTATGTTTTTGACTATTGCTTCAATAGTGTAAGATTACTGTTTTTTAATCAAGGAATATTATTATATACACATTTTCTTTATGAAGAAAGATATTATTTGTCTTCATTGTGGAATAAATAAAAAATCTGAGTCCCCCTCAAGGAACCCCAGACCTTCAGATTCTGACTGTACGCTAATTCTCTACCACTGAGCTACAAAGAACTTCAATATTAAGTTCAGATCTGATACAGTCCCTGCATACTGTTTGGTCATTAAAAAACTCTGAGTCTCTCCTAAATAATCAAACTGTGACTGTCAGATTCCACACTTTGATGCATTACCACTTAGCTACAGTAGAACTCTACAATAAGCCCCAGGCTATGAATAGGTTCATTTGTCCCCATGCTTGTGACAAGAGGACTAGGTAAAATCTTTCATCATTTAATCACTGAGTTCCTTTAGACATGAAAAATAATTTTCAATCTTTTTCATAGGACTGAGCAATAATGATGTGTCTGATATGTATAACTTCATTAGAAAACAGTGATTAAATCCATTTGTAGTTATGAACAATATCTATTGTGTTATACCAAAATTATATCACTGTTGTTGATATGTAGGACCTCTTGATGAGTGGATTGGCTTGTAGTGAACCTTCTCTAAAGTGTGCATCATTTAAAGCAGTAATTACAATGGCTCTAAGGTAAATTATTTTTTTGACATAATCAGCCTTATGTTCATGCACTGCATTTTCAAAATTGATTCTAATTTACTTATTTTTATACTCAGCACTGCTTAGAGGTTTTACCACAAAATATCAAACATTTTTTACACTGTTCCTGTTGTTTTAGAAAATGTAAAGTAACCCCTTGGACTATTTTAAGTAGTCCCACCATTTTATCTAGCACAATTATTTTAATTGATTGGACCATTTTAGCTACCAGTAGTTACCAGTTTATCTAGTTTTAGCAGTTGGACCATTTTGTCTAGTTACCCCTTTCTATCTAATTAGACCATTTTATCTACAATCAGCATCAAAATTAGTCAACACATCATGTTTGAACAATCCAATTTATGTCTAGAATAACAATCCTGTGTCTACCACACTCTTAATCTTTGACAAGACATTGCCTCCCCATTCAATATCTAGCTAAAAGTTTATGTGTCACAATATGACATCGTTTTTTTGCCTTGGGTAAATTGGTGATGTTTCTTAAAAGGAGTCTTTCATGGCACCTGTTCAATTTTCTTGGTTGACTAGCCCCCTTTTTTTTCAGTGCATAAAGAAAGACCATTTTATTTACTAAGACTATTTATCCCTGTGGACCATTAATGCTGCATGAGGATCATTTTACTTAGTTGAGCCACTTAATGTGGTAGACTGTTTAATCTAGTTGGGTCATTTTAAGCAGTTGGACCATTTTATGTAGTTAGACCATTTTAGGTCATTGAACCATTTTAATTGGTCTGACCATTTAAATCAATTGGACTATTTTTACTGGTTAGATAAATTTATCCAGTTCAACATTTTATCTCATTTTTTTAGTGAGACCATCTATACCAGATGTATTAATGTAACTACATAGTTTTGCATGGGTTTTATTGTAAATTTCCTTACAGGCCCTTGGTACTCAGCAACTTTTCAGACAATCTCAGCAGCCTGTTTATACTCAACATCCTCTCTGTTCCTGGGCTTATCCTACATCTTTCATCAATAACACCAGATGTAAGTTTTCACTCATTTGTATCTGCAAATTGTATGACTTGTTATTCATTTAATAAAAATAACTGCTGGTAACAACAATTTAGTAAAAATGATTGTGAGCTAACAACTGATTTTAAAAAACCGATTGCAAGAAAAATGGCAAAAATTTTTAATTATTGGAAACTTTGAAGCATTGTTTGCAAAAGGTAAAGAGTTAGGGCAAAGTTGGTATTACATAACAGTTAAATTGCTTCCTCAAACATACACACAATACACAATACACTAATTATTATTACGACTCCCCTATACAAGGCTATTCTGTCGTAATACAATAATATTTATCTAATAAATTACAATGGGTAAAAGAATATTTACATGTGTTGGGAAGAAAAAAGAAAAAAAAAAAGAAAAAGAAAAAGGAAAATCATTTTTAAGTCCTAAGTCAAAGAACCTTTAAAATGTTTTTTTTTCTGTTTATGGTATCTAAAATACTTATTAACACCCCTACCTTGAATTAAGACAGATTTTATTTTAAGAGTTAAAAACTTCACTTGCAATCAAGATTTGGATGTTTAGATCTCACTTACTTTTGAAGTCAGTGACACACGAAACAGTTTTGATTTTATCCTTTTTTGGTTATTCAGGGTTTAAAGCCTTTGAAGGTTCATGGCATCTATAAAAAAGTTATATCATTCCTCCAGAAAGAACAGAGCATTAGAATTGTCTTGAATGCATTAGAATGTAGCTACTCTCTCTGTCTTTTGGGTAAGTACAGTGGCTGAGACTAGTACTGGTCAGGATTGTTGACTGTCTCCTATTTTTAAGACAATAGCACAAGTTGCCTTTTGATCTCTGCACGGAAAATTTTACATCACAAGACAAAGTGGATAATAAAGTATTCTTAACATCTACTTTTTCTGAATTAAAAACCAGCCTTTTTTCTTTCTCTGCAGCTAATTTAGTGGAACTTTCTCAGCTTGAAATAGAGGTAGGTGTTTAATCAAGCTTTACTCTTTTTCCTGGTCTTGATGGGTTGTGAGTTACCTTTGCCTAATGTTATGATGTGGGCATAGTTAGTAGAGGAGACTACTACTAACTATGATGTGGGTGATGAGTATGATTATATGTTACTCTGTAATGTAACTCTGTAACTGTTATGGAATGACTCATCTTACTTTGTAGGTCTTGAGGGAAGATTTAACCAGTTTTTTGGTGAGTACCATACAAGCCATCTAAGGATCCTTATTTATATTCTTTTCTATTTTGGCATGCAAGGTTGTCTTAAACTACACGATGAGATACAGTAAGATTCTGTTAGACAATGTAGATGTAAAGTTACATGGTGAAAGTGACAATAAGCAGATTGATACTTTCAGTTATAAATGCATCCAGGCATGATGCCATTGTGCCCCATCTTGTTTTTAAGCACCTAGACCACTTCAAAACATGAGCTCTAACCCAGGGTTTTTGTGATTCTTAAACTAGTATTAAAGCTCCACAGATGGAGATGTTTAACAAATAGATTCTATGTTGCACACAGAAGCACACAAGATGCAGCTAGGTGCAGTGTCACATATTCTCTCCACATTTTGACATCTTTAGTGATCTGTTACATTAGATAAAGAAGCAAAGTGTTGCTCATGGTGGTGTCATCTAAGTATGCATCTGTCCTCCAGTAGATCATTTATGTAAGAACCAATTAAAAGGCTTGTATAATTTAGCCGTACTGTCTCTTAACAACTGTTGCATGTTCTGTTATTTTCAGGAAATAATTACAAAGATCCTCAACTATTGCCAATCATATGTTGCTAAGAAGCAGTCCAATCTAACAAACTGGCATCCCATATTAGGTTGGTTCAAGCAATCTACAGATGAACAGTGAGTCATTACACATTACTTGTTTGTTCTAAATAAAATAAAAAAATAAAAATATTATAGCTGATGCCATGCTCACTCCTTTGCTATGTCACAGGAATATTAGCTGGTGGCAATGATATTATGCTTCTTCACACCTACTGCAGGGTGGGCCCTACTGCAGGGTGGGCCCTACTGCAGTCTGGGCAGTGGTGTCCTAAGATCAGTTCATTCCCTGGTCCCTCATCCCACAAAAACTCAATTCAAAATACAAGCTATTATGACCCAAAACTAAAATTTATCTCATCACCATGAAAGGTTGCGAAAGGTCACATGATACGTACGCTAGTATTCAATAAATGAGGGCTATTAACTAACTGTTCCAAAAAAAAAAAAAAAAAAAAAATTTGTAGGGTTATTGGAAAGAGCAGCAAAGCTTTCTGCTTAATTTTCTTTGGAGGAGAATTTCATACTTTTCCTAACTTTTTATGGTGGTGAATCTTAAGGACACTGTTCTTCAGTTTGTGAGATCTGTACAGGGGAGTGATGGTGTTGTTTGGGACCGGATTGGGTCGAAAAGTTTTAGTCCACTTTTAAGATTTCCTCTGAGAGACTGTGGTCCAAGCAATCTAATCTGCTTGGTGTCTGTCCAGATGACTTGAATGTCTTGTGCAATGGAAAGATAGTTTATTTATTATCTGATGTTCCTAAATCGTTGACTTAGTGATTGAAGAAAGTTCGAAGTGAATTCAAGAAGAATAGGATCTATATAGGAATGGCCTTTCATTGATATATTAGAGGTTTGGATAGTGTCGGCTATACTGGACATGTGACAGGATTCAAAACTCAATTTAGTGATGTCGTAATTGCCAGGAACCACAACACGCGAATTCCATTCTTTTCAAAATATAATATACATTTGGTGTGTACAGTTCAAATGGGTTGAAGAAATGGTGGTATTATGGTCAGTTTCCTGGACTCTGGAATGAAAGGGCCAAGTGTAAGCGTGGGATGTGATATAACGCGTTTTTAGCAATTACACCTCACCCTCTTATTACACACCTCATTCAACCTCAGAGTATAAATGGCTCTAAAAGTTTTCAATTTTTGTGACACACTGCAGGGTATCAGGAGATGGACAAGGGGACTACCAATACTTCTTGTCACTGCATGCCAATTAGTTCGTTAGTGAAACTCGAGCTGACACCTTCCCTTGTGTTTATAGGCTGAACAATTCAATTCCTCATATAAGAAAGCAGCTTCAGTCCCTGTGGAGTCAGAAAGTTGTGAATCTGTTGTTTGAGGCTCTTTTAGTCATCAGTGAAGGTGAAAGCAATGAAGTAAAGAGCAAGGATGACAAAGGTCTGGTAAAAAGAGTACATTTTCTGCGTTTAAAACAGTTTTTATGTCAAGAAGTTGAAAACGTGGTCAGAACTACCACCGGGATTTGGAAGGGGAAGGTCCTCAATAATTGGTCAGAAGGTAGCTGTACCTCTCATTAAAAGTGGTGGGTTTATCATCCAAAGTCTATAAAGTAATACACACAATTTTGTTATAAAGGGGTGTTTGCGCACAGGAAACATTAAGCATAGCGGTACAATTATAAAAGATTAACACTTATGCTCTCAAACAGGGCCAAGAAGCAATGGCCTTAACTGGAAGCACCTTATCACTTCCTTACCATCATCTAATGGGTTCCTGTACATAGCTGTTAACCCGATTATTGTAGACTAGGTCTTGGTCCTTAAGAGAAAAGGTCTCATTCAACCTAAAATACAGCCCTCTTTACTTGGTGAGTGAAGACCCTTATCCAACGTGAACTGTTGTGAAGATGATTTTGTGGAACACAGTCAACAAGTAACAGGAGGCTGTCGAGGTCGACTAAACTCTAACAGTTGCCGTTCCATTCAGTACATTTAATGTTTCCAATCACCTGTTTTACCACAGGTAATTGGAAACCATGGTCTCGTATCGGCAGAGGTCGCTCCAGATGTGGTCAGTCCAGTTTATCCAGTTCGCAGGTTGAGGTGATACTGAAATCTTGTGTCATGTATCAAACTGTACTGTGTACTTTCTCTCAGATCAAGCTGGATATTTTGACAGGTTTGTAGCTAAGACTGAATTGCTTTATCTTTTCTTTAAGTTACTTAGTATACATTTCTTGATTTGCTGATGGCTGCAGCTCCTTCAGTGAGCTGGCTCTGCTAAGCAGGCGTCGTAAGCTTGCATGATTTCAAATCCTTTGGCAAATGCTCGCTTTACGGAAGAAATAAACTACACTTTCCCATGGCATGGCGTCCTATATTTGAGAGAGCTAAGAGCGCCAATTAGAGAAAAAGGGCAATATTTAGTTTTTTTTTCTTGTTGGCTTCGTGGCTTGTGTGCACCAAATGTGTGACAACGTCTGCATTTGCAGTGAAAAGTAGTCTTTTTTTTTCTATTTCTCTGCTTCATTAAGGTAAGACTATAGGAATAAAAGAATATTAGAGACAGTTTCTGGTATTTGCCAGGTGAGGTTAATGTCTTGTGCTCAACCATGAAATATATCCGAAGAAGTCCGATTGTTTTAGAGTTCAACTTGGAAAACTGCACTTGCTCGATATCATTCGTTAAAACTGGATTTTAGGTTTGGAGTGTTACCATACTTCTTTAGGTCCTAGGGGGTTAAAAGGAGTTTTACAAAGTAGGTAATACGAGGATTTTCTTTTTTTTGTTCTTGTAGGGTTGAGTTACCAAGAAGGATTTGTGGTGCATCTTTGGAAGTTTTTTGATTCTTTTTGTCAAAATGACAGCGTGGAATCTCACTTGTGGAGTCTTGAAAAGACAGGCTTGTTTAACAGCCATGAGCTTCAGGCCGCTCTTGTGCTTTTCTGTGACTGTTGCAGTCACTTATTGCCGTAAGTAAAATTCATCTCATTGAATTTCAACTTGTTTGAACAAGATATATTTCGTTTTCTTCTTTGTAGCTTAGTGCATGCCTCCCTAGCTGTTAAATATTTCAGAGAAGTTGTCAGGAAAACTTTGTCATGAAACTTCCCCTGTAATCTTAATTCACACGAGAATAATACGAGAAATTCCCAAATGTCTCGCACGTTTCCAGTACACACTCCAATAGGAAGATAGCAGTCTAGACCCTTGTAATTCAAATCGGTTGAGACATCAAGATTGCCAGCTCGGTATCACGATTTTTCCAAACGAAAGCTCTTCTTGGATAGCAACGTCAGATCGGCCTATACTATACTAGTATATATATACACCTACACTAGTGTAAATAAACAAATACTTCGAGTTGTAATCGAATATCCTTATGTTGAACTAGTAACTGTTAATTTCTTACCCGTCTTGTTATATAAGTATGAAAATGTAGCCGCTACATTTTATTTCTTTTACCATTTTAACCCATCGTAGCAAAAAAAACTTTCAAGTACATTTAATTTTGTGGCTCAGCCGGCTAGATTAGCGCCTCAGACGTTCTGAGAAAACTTGCGCCTGTTCCTGTTGTTTTCCACTACGTTTGCAGATATTAGATTTAAGGTGAAACAATCGAAATTCTACTCTGTGATCAATGGCCATGTTGCTTTGACACAGTATCTTCAATTGATCACTATTCTTAACATCACATATTGATTATTTTTTCACCTTAGCATTGTTGATGATTCTGAAATGTACGAGATACAAAAACCGTTTCGTTTAGACGAGCTGAATAGAATATCTGCCTTCCTCAATAACGTGGTCTTCAAAATGTTGTGGAACGAGATGGTGGAGGGTATGTTCATGTTTCTTAATTCAAGATGAATGAGTTTCCTCTTCTTCCAGTACCCTTCCCTCTACTTAAAACCATTTCTAGAATGAACTTACACAGTAGCCTTCTTTTCTGTAATAAAGTCAGAGTTGTCGTTGTAAATGTGGGTGCTGCTCGTTTAATATTAGCTCTAGAATTACTCCTCTGTTCTTGTCAATGACTGGTGATGAGATATTTGTCACCAAGAGCCTACTTTCGTGGAATTTTTTAGAATCAAGAGAGCAGATGTTGAACTCAGCGCATACATTGCTTATGATACTGTATGACAGAGATTGCAGACGCCCTTTCACCTCTCAAGATCAGTGGCTTGTTAGGTTAGTAGATATTTTTTACGTAAGAACTCGATCTAACCATGTACGGTCAATGCATTTTATGTTCGTGGGCCCTGTCCATCGCGGCTTAGCCTCAGTAATCGGATGGGCGAGGAAAAATCATTTAGATCTCCGCTTTAAGGCTTGGCCCAATGTATACATCTGACTTTCATTATTACGTTACTGGCCATTCTACCAATGGCGGTTTAGGGACGATGTAAGAAAACATTAAAACAAACTTTCATAGAGCGCCGTCAAAGAAATACACTTAGAGCAACATGGAATATATCCAACATGTAACAGGGCGAAGTCTTCTGGGACCACCATGATAGAAGGCCAGCGCCCAAACTGCCCGGCCATGCTACCCTCTTAACCATTTTTCAGTATTTTAAAAGACCATTGTCGAGACAAATTTATCATTTTTGAATCATTCAGAGAGGAAAGAACGTCTTAGTTGACGAAAAATCACAACACTCAGATTGCGGCGTTTAAGTTTTCATTTTGTACAAATGCATACTATTGTTGTGGACACAGGTGCCTTTAGTTCCGTAAATTTATATTTATTTGTCTGCCCTCCTTTTACACCATAGGAGCATTAAAACGAGTACGTTTGTATCAGAACTTGAAAAGCGGAAGAAAGGCGCCCTGATGGTGATTCAGAAAATACCACATGTTCTGCCTCATAGAGAGGTATGCTAACTTATTTTTAATTTATTCCCTTTAGCTGTTTGCGAGGTTACTGCAACACAAATTATTTCAGCTTGTGCTGTTCACAAAGGTCGTTATTATCGAAGCCTATTGTTATCAATGTTGATCCACTTTTCTTGATACGTTAATATTCTGCAGAGGGTACAACTGTTTAGGAAGTTGGTCACCAAAGACAAAGTGGAACTTGGTATCACTCGTCCCTCAGATGATTTTTTTCCTCAAGGGACGCTTATTACAGTTCATCGAGCGAGACTGTTGGAGGTGAAGCACGTTTTTATGTCGCTTGCTGTGAATTCCTAGGGAAACAATACCGTTATCTTTTATGCTCGTCATCAGGAGTGGTAAACCTTTCAGAAATTCATTGTTCTACTTAACGTTTCTTCCATTTTGCAAGAGATAAGTATTTCATTATTTGAGGCTACATTTACGTTAGTTTTAATAGACATTATGTTCAAAAGAAAGAGCTGTAAAGGAACACAATCCATAATGAAAACGAAAAACGACCTATTCAGCTGTTAATTCTGTTACTCGTGAAGAGTACACGGCAAAATTTAGTTCATAAAGATTAAACCTTTTCCTCACGTCGCTGCAAATCAGTTGTCCAGTTGTGTATAAATTTGAGTAGATAGATTTTGTGTGACATTTGTCAATTTTTGTCTCTTGAACTGATCAGGATGGCTATGAACAGCTGGCCTTGCTCCCAACTCGTTCATTTAAAGGAATCATCCGTGTCAGATTCATTAATGAACAGGTGAGTGTTTTTGGACGGAATAACAGAATAAGGAAGACCTTTAAAAATAAATTTGGAATGACACACGGTACTGGTTTACACATTCTGTATAATTTAAACTGTGGTTTGAGTTTGCTTTTTGTTACAAATAGGGTCTCTCCGAGGCTGGTATTGACCAAGATGGTGTGTTTAAAGAGTTCCTTGAGGAGGTGGTAAAAAAAGGATTTGATCCCTCACTTGGTTTATTTAAGGTTAGAAGAGTTGTGTGGAAAAAACTGTTCTGTGGCAAATAAGTGTGGCTGTGTATTTCCAGAAATTTACGTTAGTGTGTGTCATAATTGTTCGAAGTTCGATTGTGTTAAGAAATAACATTGATATCATAGATAAAGGGGGGGGGGGATTCTAAGCTAAAGCACATGATAATTGGGAGTGATCATTTACTGACCATCTCACTTCCTGTCCATTAAACCGTTTGACATTTAAACAATAACATAGCTAATTGTAAACAAGGACAGACGGAAATTTAAGTCGCAGATGAAAAGCAACATCCCTAGTTACAACGGTTAGAAAACCATGCATTTCTTGATTTTTTTCCCCCTTCCCACCCCTATGAAATGTTCATTGATTAATTTTATGCGGTATATTGATCTGACAATATGCTTTTACTTGGAACTAAACCCATTAAATTGACATTGAATTGCATTAAGTTAGAAGAACTGTTACTTGAATGTTGGTGAATCGAACAATAATGTCGTGTTACTTCTAGATGACCAGTGGCGAGGAAGAGCGATTATTTCCGTCAAGCACATCGTTTATTCACAACAATCATTTGAAATTGTTCGAGTTCTTGGGTAAGGTGCTGGGCAAAGCTCTGTACGAAGTAAGTAGAGTATTCCTGATTACCTAAATCCATCTTTGTTAGAACCATTACCGTTTCCGTGGGTTGGAGTTACCAACTTTGAAAAAATGATACTTGCCAACTGTTAAGGTCTTCTTTTTGTATAGCCACTAATTCATGCCTGCTGTGTATGCTTCATTCCATTTAGGGTATGGTCGTCGAAGTACCGTTTGCATCATTTTTCCTCAACCACATTCTTAGTCGACAGCACAGCGGTTTGTACAGTTCAATAGACGAACTGCCTTCACTTGATCAGTCACTGTACAAAAGTTTATGCTTCATCAAGGTTTGCATCTTGAATGAACATTTTACTTCAAATTTACATGTGTTATAAGAGATAAATCAAGTTAACTCCGCCTTGTGTAAGTCAACTAGGAGAGAGCACCGGGGTTTGATCTCCCAACAGGACCAACACCTGGGGTCTGAAAATAAATTAGGACAAAGTTCTGCTTTTACAGTCAACAAATTGGACCCTTGTTGGTAAAGAATAGGGCACAGAGTTGCCGGTGTTGCGGTGCGGTTTTTCTCTATTATGATTTCATCGTTGCATGGATAGGAAAATGCATGGATAGGAAAATGCATGGATAGGAAAATGCATGGATAGGAAAATGCATGGAGATTTTGGCTGATAACAACAATTTAAAAATCTGAGAGTAGATGAAGTACGAACTCTGCTTAACTAGTGAGCTTATCTTACCTTACTCTATTTTTTCGAACAGACCCATTCCCACCTCCTACCATCGATAGCGTTTTACGTCATTAAATCCTTCTTTTTCGGTATGGAAGGATATTAGCAATACATTAAATTTTGAATAACTTAATAATTCAAAATCATTGATAGTAAGAGAACTGAGTCGAGTGAAAGAATAATGAAAAAGTGAACACGATTCGTTAATTAATATTAAATATAACAAATGAAAAAGCCTTGAGAGTGCTTTCTTCTGGTGTCAAACTTATAGGAAGCGGTTAGTTATGTGTGACATTCTTTCTTTATTTTCAGCATTATGATGGCGACGTTCGAGATCTCGAACTGTCATTTTCCTTTGACGAAGATGTTCTTGGCAAGGTAGGATCTAACTCTTAGCGTTTGCTTGGCCCAGAACTAACCTTCTTCCCTGGCTCAGCCAAATCTGATATTCAACCATTATGGTCACAAGGCCATAACACTTTTCCGAGTTACTATTAAACTTCTCTTTTGATTCATCTATGGACTCAATACCAGGCTTCTGAATCAAGACTGGGACATACGTTATAAGATGAAGGCTTATTTACAAGGTCTCTATTTTGAATATTTGAATATTGAATATTTTTTGGCTAATTTTTGTGTTACGTTCAGGTGATCACTCATCAACTCATGCCAGGCGGAAATGTTATTCAAGTCACAAATGATAATAAGTGAGTGGAGTTCTGCATCCTATCCACTAAGTAATTCGTTTGGACCTCTAATTTGATTCAACGTTACAACTTTTACAAACAATATCCTCAACGTTTTAAGAAAGTGTTTTTGCTTAAAGTTGCAAAAGTGAGCTCGCAGTAACAGAATGAAGGAAAGTTATAGAACATAATCAACTGTTTCATGGCTCAATTTCCAATGGCTGAATACAAATAACCAGGTCGAATAGGAATTTTGTAGTGTTGGTTTCTAAGTAGAGACGCCATTCGGGCTGCAGTGCGCGGCGGGGGGGGGAGGGGGGGGCTAGGGGGTCAAAGTTGCATATTGTCAGTACTGCAGCTCCTCACTCAGATCAGAATTTCACATCAGCTGCAAAATAAGTCTTGTATCTGCCGTGGAAAGGTGAAAAGATCATGAGAATGGATACAGTTAAGGCTATACAATTTGGCACTGGTGTACGAACATCTATATGTTTTTGTGGGTGGTATGAAAAATTTCAGAGTGTCACTTGAGGTTCATTGTGCTACAATTTTCTCGAGGTTGGATTGTGCTCACATACGCTCAGAACAATATTTTCTATTGTAAGATCTAAAATGTTGTTCCTCATCCTGGGAAAGTTCATTTCAGGCCAATGTTTTTGACAGCTCTCCGCGCGATTAAGAATGATATTGATCCAAATGGGCGCCAAGATATGACATCATTCGCTGTTAATCAATCTCAATTAACACTTTATGTCGTTGAACTTGACCTTTTAAGTTTTCTATATTTTCATGCAGGATAAGTTATGTCCATTTGATGGCTCACTATCGCATGTGTGTTCAAATCCGGGAACAAACGGCAGCCTTTATACGGGGTTTCAAATCTATCGTGCGACATGATTGGTTGCAGATGTTTTCCGGTCCTGAACTTCAGAGACTCATTTCCGGTGACAATGCTGCAATGGATCTTGGTGACTTGAGGTATCGTAAGTCGTAATGATTATAAGTGGCAGTAAAAGGTTAAGATAAAGTTTGAAGTCACAGTGAAGTGAAGTTTCGATTCTAGAAACATGATCTTATTTAACTACTCTTCTTTCTTCAGGAAGCATACCTTAGTTGAAAAAACCGTCTTTCATCTTCGACCGTAGTCCCGCAGGTTATGAACCAATATGGTGGACCCTAGGAAGTTCTGTCATAAACCTTTTGAGAGACTGCTGCTTATTTTAAATTCAGGCAAAGATTCCTGAGCTCAAACTTTTTTTCTCTATTTCTTTCTTTTTAACACAAGAAAAATAATATCATGTTATCACGATTGTAAGTTGTCCTTGGATGAGTGTTGTGTTATCCAACCCAGATCAACCCATGGTTTAACTCCGCGAGGAAAGTTTGTATTTGTTGCCTTTTTAATTTTGCAGACGTCACACAAGATACTATGGTGGTTACCATAGCAATCACAGAGTAGTCAACTGGTTATGGGATGTACTGGAGAAAGACTTTTCCGAGGACGAAAAATCCAGATTTCTTAAGGTAGGGTTTTCATTGTTCACTCGTCATAATCCTCGCTAAAGCAAGAAGTTCGCCTGTTAAGTTTGGTTAGGGTTTAATACAGTTTTTTTTTTAGTTTTTGTTCGATGGTAAAATAAACTGTTTATCCCCCTAATTTTCATATTCATTTCCATTTCGTATCCTTGACCACTGTTCTACAATTCGCCTTGCCTGTCTCTGGTAACCTCAGCTTCAAAAATGATTCGCCGCTTGGTAGACATATGAATAATGACCCTAACACTCTCATGACTGGGACGTCAATTGGTGAACAGAAAGCTCAGATAATTCCCCACAATATTACATCGCAAGGGCGTAGTGTATTTTGTGGTCAGTAGTTCAAGCTCACAAACTTCTCCTTGTCTACCCGCAGTTCGTTACGAGTTGCTCGAAACCTCCGTTGTTGGGATTTGCTCATCTGGAGCCTCCATTCTCCGTTCGATGTGTGGAGTGTAATGATGACGAGGTGAGTGATTACTTAATCAAAACGTGATTAGCTTCGTACTTCTCTGTACAAAATCAGTCAAGATCATCCGATGACTCGCTTGACGGTTCGCTCATCGTAGCGACTTTCCTAGCATGCCAGATTTCTTTTGACTAACTCGTCTGGTGTGCCTTTTTCTGCAATTTTGTTATGCCCATCGCTACTAATTGCCAGAAAACGTCAACCATTTAGGCTGGCTTGTTTTGTTGCATGGCTGCTCAGAATTGTCGATAACAAAGATGCTTGGCTTCGGACAAAGGAAAAACTGAAGGAGCAAGTAGGCAAAAAATCTTCACGAGTTTCCACGCACATAAAGATGGTGAAATTTACTCTTGCTTTCCGCTGGCAATGAAATTTGCTGAAATCGGTGCTCAAAACCTAAACGTATGAACAGAAGGGTGTGAGCGTGGTAACGCTAAAAGGGTAATTGCATCTTTATAATACCCCATTCAAGCGGCGGTGTTGAGGTAAAGAGAAAATGTAGTTACGATAGAAGTAATTCTAACCCTAAGTGGACCTTATGTGTTGCCTGACTTAGCTCCGACCGAAAATATTCAGGACCCTTCTTGCTGTTGATTGATTTTCATACCCGTTGACCAAACGGTATTAATTCCACCCTCCCCTCCGAAAATAAAAATTCCTGAAGTTGAGAAAAAGCCTACCAGAGATTTTTCTTGAGCGTCGCCAAATAACGTTGAAAGAGGACTTCGCTGTAAGTTAAACATATTAATGTCGATTTCCATGCCATGCTCACTGTTTCAAACTTCAATCCTATTGTGAACACGTGTCAAAATTGTTTAAATGCTGAGAGAGAAAGTTAGTTTTTGAGCGCTCTGATTGGGAGCTTAAGAAAATTGTATCAAACAGCCAACTCAAGTTGGACCGAGAAGTAAAGTTACTGCTGATTTATCGATTCAATGAGTTATTCAAAAACTCCTTGTTTTTTCCTAGGATGAAGGTGACACTGTTGGCAGCGTGTTTCGCGGGTTTTTCAGCGTTGGCCGGCGGCGTGATCCAGTTGGGAGACTACCCACCTCATCTACTTGTTTCAATTTGCTCAAACTTCCCAACTATAGGAAGAAAAGCACACTCAAAGAGAAGCTCCGTTATGCAATCAACGCCAACGCAGGATTTGAACTTTCATAATCGACGACAGTGAAACAGGAACAGTCCCTTTATTTGTTGCCCCCAAAGATCCATTCTCAGATCTATCGCCTCGCAAAGCTACCTTTAACTTATAGGAAGCTTCAAAATATTGCTGTAGTTGGTAATAAAGAAAGGTCAGTGAGATGATTATCCAAAACATTGAAGGAAAATTTGAGCTATTTTGCTTAACGAAGTTACTTCAGTGCTGAATGAGACTTGGGTCGGTAAAGCAGATCTCAGTCAATGTTCTTTTTATTTCTATGAAAATTGGTTTATATGAAAAATAAATGTACATACACATTTTTAGCGTTTTACAATTAAATTACTTTCTTTGTGTTTGACTATAATGTATTAGAAACCTTGCCATGAATTATAGAAGATACCCAACCCATCAGATGAAGAGTACAAGCTACAGTGCAGTCAAATTTACTTGATTTTTTTTTAGTGCGTTAGTAATCAGTGCACAAAACTGACAAATCTGGTTATGGGAATGCAAATAATCTAAAACTGTTTCAAAGCGATGAAATGAAACCACGAACCTGCATGAAGTGGAAGCTATGTTTCTTACATGCCGCCAGATTATTTTAGTAGAACACAGTTCTAGTTAAAATTAGTTTTTATCAAGTAGTTAATTTGTAGTGTGTTAAAATGAAAACTGAATGTACCGTTAGTAGCTCTGACGCTTTCCTTGCTCCTCTTTGGTTGGAAATGTACATGTACATTCGGCACTCAGTTCTCTGAGGTGCTCATGCCAAAAATAGCGTCAGAATATGAGGTTTACCCGAGCAACTAAAATATCTTGTCGTGCGACGAGATTTAATCAGTGTCTTGCTTAGCATTACTTGGCTCTCTAATTGGTTGAAAGTGATAATTATTACGAAACACACAACCACTCCAATTCGCAGACAAGACAGTAGGGTTCCCCTGGCGCTGTTCAACTGTACTTGTGCTAAGCCTATATTCGTAGACTTGTTCTTTTCGTGTATTGCAGTTGGCCATTTTGATTGTTTTTAATGTTGAGTGACATCACCCGACCAAAACTGAAATTTGCACTGCGTTCTACGTAATACTCTGGAACTGAGTAAATATGTTGGGTCGAGTTCTTTGCTTAAAGATAAAACAACAAACTTTATAAAAATTTTGAGGCAGCTTCCAAATCCATTTAAATACCGCAAAGTCGACAAAAGGACTCTCTCCAGCAACATAAACTCTGTGGGAAGTGTCTTCGCAATGCCTCGCAGGTCCTCAGTGGATGAGACTCTTTCGCTTTCCGTTGTCATCCAGTTGTGGTTCACCTTGAAGTTATTTATCATTTTTCATCGACCCGTCTCTCCTCCATGGACGTTGGCGGGCATACCTTTTTAATCTTTTCCGTAAGTTGTAACGTTCTTTGGAAATAAGATGGAAGTAAGGGCGTTTCGCAAGGATGAACAAATTGTTTGATTCTTTTTCGGATAGGAACAATAAACTTAATTAATGCTTTGGTATGGTGTTGAATATTTTGAGCGCCGGTCCAAGCTTGATCTTAAGAATATTGACGATATCGTTCTGCGTCAGCAAGAGGAAAGCTTCTCCGTCGATCAGCTGAAAGATAAAAAATAAACGTTATGCTAAAGCTCGGCAAGGTAAGGGGAGAAGAGGACTACAGAAAGACCATCTAATTTACCAATTTGTTTGACTGGTATACCACCCGTAATGCACCTTCTTTAAGCACTGAATATTCTCATCTATGTAATGAATTTAAGAAAATGTTATTCCTCCCTTTACGAGCGTAGGACAACGAAAAAATCTGAGTCCCCACGAGGAATCGAACCTCGGACCTTCGGATTCCTCTCTCCGATGCTCTACCACACTTGAGACCATAATGCTCTACCACACTGAGACTCTATGGTGAGCTACTTATGACTAGTTTCACATGTGAAATGCGTCCTGCAAAGTACTTGCATGAGTTAGGATCAAGTATTGAAAGTGGTCTGGGAATTGCTTATAACACACATGTAAACACCTGCCGTCCACCTTCATCGCCACCACTTCACTAAATTCTGAGTTCTAGCAATGCAAAATGACGGTCGGGTACACAGACAGTCCACGAAAAAAACGCCTTAAAATACACGCTGTAAATGTACAATGACAATACACGGTAATGGCAATAAATATCTTAAAAATGTACCTGGTCTCCAAATATCTTAGCCTGTTCCGTGCAGCCGAGCGCGCGCACGTGACTCATAACGTCATCCACAGTCCACTTAATCATTCGTTGCCTTTCGTTGGAGGCCACCGAGTCATTTTCTAAACTGATGGCGGCCTTCAGCTCGCTGAGACCCATCATGGAGAACTGGCTTCCCAAAGGCCAGGGAAACGAGAACGGTGTGACATGCTGAACAGCCTTGTCTGCGTCTGAGACGACAAAAAAATCATAGCCACAAACGTTTAGCAAAGTTATCAGGCAATATTTTTACATTGTGACGGACCTCAAAAACAGAATGGTAGACTCTAGCTTGATTACAGGCAGTAGATAAATTCTTGAAACCCTGGAAAATTTAGTTTAACAGTTCGATGATTTGTATATCAAAGAAGCTACTCAGGAATCCCCTCAAATACTAGCCACTCATCACCTGGACCTCATACCAATTACCGAGTATGAAAAGAATCTAATTAGCTGTCGTCTCTTACACAAGCAACACTATACATTCTTGAATACAACTAACAGCAGAACTTCAAGGAGAGACTTACTAGTAAGTAATAAGAGTGACTTACACTTCTGGCGCATTCCATGGTGTTTCTCTTCTTTAACAAAAACTTTCCTGTGTGAACAAAGAACACAAAGAAACTTTTATTTGAACCCGTAGTTATGCACTGACGACTCGAAACAAATTGGTTGCTTGACTTAGTGTAACATGCCTTCGAGATTTCTGATCATGAAAAACTATTTCATGACAGTTTCAATAGAGAACTTTGAAGTTGACCTTTTAAGCACCTCCTATAATCCAAAAAGGTGCAAATGATTCACCGAGGTTAACAAACAGTAAGACAGGTTCTACTACTGAAGGAACAGCGCTGTTTCGATGAATCTGCAAGCCGTGAACATCCATGCGGCTACTGATCAAATAGGAGATCTCAACAGGATACACAGCTTACCTAGCAGAACTTCGGGTAGATATAATACTTCCACCAACCGGTGCTTTGGCACCTGAGTGGACAGAGGGAGGACTGTTGGGGGCGAGGTGTGGAATTTTCTTGAAAACGGGAGACTTGCTGGTATGCTTCGAAAAGATCTTGCCTTGGTTTGCTTCATTGTTTGGGCAGCCTGACAGACTACGAAAACAAAATAAGATATTAGACCTGGAGAGAGGCATATGAGTGGCTCTTGGCGCAGCGAATTATTGTAATTCCTTTGAGTTGTTAGAGCCTGGATACTATTCTAGTCGTTAGATATAGATATCAGTGGCACAGTTAAACTGTGTGCTTCCCTTCTATTAACTCTAGCAGAAGTTCAAGTTTGAGAAGATCTGTTCATGTCTATAACGAACTTAACAACAAATTTACCATGCCTTTAGTCTAAGAGGAAACTGAGGGCAAGGAAAGCGAAAATATTTGGAAAAACAGAAACAGAAACAGAAACTATACGACAACAATGCAATCGATTTGCGAGAGAAAACCACAACTGATTAACTTAACGACCTGCTGGACTGGTCTCCCCTTCAGAGGAGAGGGAAAATTGTTCACCGTATGCCATTCTACAAAAGTTATTCATATGAATCAGTTACATCACAAAGCCCAGTTGTTAACCAAGATTCTTTCACAAAGTTACGACCAAAGGCACTTAGAGATGAATACCAGAATTTTAACCAGCTTATCAAGCATCAACCAGCAACCAGCATCAAGTTCCTTTTTAAACTCATCAGTAAAGGTTTGAATAACCCTCTCCCATTTCAAAGTTTTTCCGTGATACGTGCAACATTTTGCAATAATTCCCCACCCACCCCACCCTCCTCCTGCATATAGATGTAGCTTACGTGTAATGAGTCTTCCAGTGTCCAGTGACGTGACCCAGGCCATTACATCCTGGTGTGGGACACACCCCTTCCACGGCTGGACTTGAAGGAATCTCAGCTGAAACATTAATGGGCAAAAACAGTTCATCAAATCAATCTTGTCATGACTAGTCAGTTATTGCCTCAGCCTTACGTTTTACTTCTTTAAATCCAGTCGTTTTCTGTTTAGAAGCATAGGACCAGTCGGATTCTTCAGTCATGGAGTTGTTGGAGAGCCGATCCACTAGGCATGAGTCTTTGTTCAGGTTCTGCAGTGAGTACGGGCAGCCAAACGTGCTGTGATGAGTGGAATACTTAGCGCCCTTTACATGACCAATGCCTTTACATCCGGGAGTCGGACAAGCAGCACTTGAGATCTTTTCGCGGGTTGCTATAAAGAAAAGACAACCATTATAATGAGATTGGCTGCTGGACTGATCTAGGATAAAGGTCTCTACTCGACATCGATAATGTTATGTATGGAATAACGGTTGAAAATCATGCGGTGTAAGGCTAATTCAAAAATTCCGTAACAGGCAATGAGAACTCCAGCATAAGCAGCCGAATACAACTGAAGTTTACAAAGAAAAGAGGGGTACACGAATACCGACCTGAGTGCGAGCTTCGTATCGTCTGTTGACGACACCTATCATTTGGTAGAGTCACTGACACTTTCTTTTGAATCTTTTGTGGTTAACTTTGAGTAACGGCAGGCAAAAAAGATTACAATTTGCAGCCTTCTCCCCCCTCCCCTTAATGATGGAAATACGATCAAATGGTGATACAATCGACACTCACTTAAGGGCGTTTCCAGAGGATGTCCCGTTTTTTCGCACCACCCCACTGGGTGTAGGTCAGTAGAATCAGCATCAAACCAGTCATCATAGATATCATCCCAGCCATCTAGATGCACCTTGACTCTGTATTCTTCTACTGCAGCTACTCTAGCTGCTCGGACTAGAGATGGATTCCGTTTATCAACTGCTTCCATTCTCTCCCCAGGCTTAAAACTTGGCTTGGGGCGCTACAAAGAAAACAATGCATCAGGGTGAAGCTTAACATTACTTCATTGCATCCATTTTGAAATCACAGTGATCCTACAATCTGATAGGCTCTCAGCAGAACGATTTGTAAAGGTAATCGCAAGAAATCAAGTGCAATTTGGAATAAATCAGCAGAAGTAAATTTTTCAAAGGCCAACCAAATTGCACAAGCCAGTAGGGCGAGTGCAATTTGTAGTCTTTGAAAAATCTACAAGTGCTGATTTA